ACACATATTGTGTGACTGAACCAGCCGATGGTGCTCCAGGCCCGGGCTTTGGTGAGCCCATGTTCCCCTTCCGTGGGGCGGCCGAGCTGTAACGTGTAATGGGCATGGTCGGCACGTCTCTTGCATCCCGCCTCAATATAACTTGGAAAAGGAGGGAGAGGGCTGCTATGTACAGGTAGGACCCACCTCTTTTCTCCATGGTAAAAGGTAGAAGTCGGAATCTGGGGTGTCCTGGTCATGGATGAAGCGTCTTCGCTTGCGATGACCTTACACAATGGGTGGCCTTTTGAGGTGGGGGAGAGTTGTCGAGACATATGGGCCGTGCCATCTTGCAGTCTTGCATTTCATAATAGCATTGTATACGCTGACGTTGTGTGCATCTCCCCACGAATCCAAACACCTTTCATTGTCTGCAGTGGCCACCCGCCTAATCCCACCGGACCATTATTGCCAGCTGTCTGTCTTGATATGAGGGTGATGTGTTGATCAAGGAAACAGCTGACGCCCTGGCTATCTCAGCTGTGTGCGGCGCGCACCCTCAGACTGGATCGCATTGGGGCTTCGCGAAGCAACATACTCCCAGCGGGGTCCCGGACGAATAACTTCCTCATCCTCCTTGCACCCTATTAATTGCTCCAGGATCTTGCTGGGTGGTAGCTTCGCCAAGGGAAGTGAACGGACCCGACCCGAAACCAGTGCCCAGATTGCCAGCGAATGGAAGGAGGACCATGAGAGTGAACAATGAGCATCACTTTGATGCCTGTCATCATTCTTGCTTGGGTTGCGCGAACCTCCTATTTTACCCCCAGTTTTTCCCCACAGCAGTTCTCGGTCAAATTCACAAGTAGCGCCCGCTCGGCGCATTTCGACGCCACCTCAGGAAGCCCTCCCATTCGTCAACCAGACGCCTGGCCGTCGAATGTAACGATGCATTCCCGACTTTGCATCGCCTTCTCTTTGGGCGTGGCCTGGGTCTCCCGTGTTCACCACCACCACCTCAATCCTTCTCGAGGCAAAGAGCCTCTCCATTCTCAGGCCTGCATTATCAAAGAGGCGTTTGCCCCCGCTGGAGACCGAAGTACCTTACACAAGTCAAGTCAGTGGTGTCAAATGCTACAAGTACTCGAATTGGGGACGATCCCTGATAGTGTTCTCGATCAAAGAGTATCAGTTGTCGTCGCCCTTTGCGACTCACTTGGCGAATCAGGACCTTCAATCTAGCCAAAGGAGCTTGGGGTGGTACATAGGCAATACTTGTACTTATCCTCCTCTATTCTTGAGTCAAGTTGTTTTTCGGGAGTAAACTGGAAGAGGCGTATCTTGTGGCTTGCTTCTTCACTCCCGTCGCTGGTCTCAATGTCGATTGGTGGCGTGGCGAGGACACAAGATGCGAACATACAGGGCTCGAGGCGGGAACCTTGAATAATGAAAATGAAAAATAAAATGAAATAAATACACGCTTCACATTTCCTTCTTCTTCTCTTCTTCCCAGGTTCTGCTCTTCCTATTCATGAGACATGGCTGTTTGGGCGTTGAAAGACGGGCCTGCTCCCCGGCTTTGAGTTTGGAGAATTGACCAAAACTGGAGCCGAAGGGAAGGGTGAGACAGTGCCTAATCCCAATTGGATTTGGTAGGGTGAAGATGCTGGAAAAGTGGACTCTGAAGAGTCGGGTCCCTCAATCGTGTGCTGGAGAGGGACATTGGGGGTTTGGGAGAGGGCAGTCAGCGCAACGCAGTGGATTTGTGTTGTGAGGAAGAACAATGGGGTGTGGTGGCGGGTGGGCACGGGGGAAGGGCCCATATTGGCTTGCCCGGCGTGGATAATTAGACGAGGAACTTTTGTCAGGTGCAGGACGGACCCGGACGCTATCCCAAGTCAACGTCAATCAAGTACCGTGAATGTACTTTGGCTTAACGCCGAATTAGCTAACAAGGTTTCGTACCTGGTGAGGTACCTCGATTCCTCTCTTTGCCCACTTTTTGGCATATCTCCTTCGTACCTTTTCTCTTTTGGAATCGGCGCCGAACGTGTCCCCTGCCCTGTGGCACTTGCATCGGAATGGCTTGCTTTTTCTTCTACGTGCGAAGAGAACCCTGGCTAGCTTGCCCATCATCTGGATCACATTTTTGCCCCTCCAGAACGCCTTCCTCGGCACAAGCAGATTTCGTTGGGTGGGTTTTCTCTCGCTGTATCTTCTGCGGGTATTAGGGGACAGCCCTGGAGCAGACGCTCTGGTATTAATGGATAATATTATAATATCATTATTTTGTCCCTGCCTCTGTAAAGCTATATCAATTCCGCTTGCCTAAAATGATTGTCCAATTCGAATATCTAGCAATGCTTGCCCTATTTTATCAGCTCGCAGGAAGGGGTTGGATTGATAGAGGGTGCGATTGCCGCATTGCAGGTATGCATCCGCGGATTGCGAAAGGTCGCGGTTGTATTCTGGGCTCCTCCTTCTCCATCTAACAAGAGTGTATTCATACGGATCTGGCTAATGTGAAATAGGCCGGCCATTGTGCACAGCTGTTACAAGTTGCCTTGCCTCATTGTATCAATGGTTCAATGGCTCTGTCCCATCCCCTAATCCCCCACTGGTTGACGTTCAATGTAATGTTGTGTGAGTGCTGTTTTCTTCTTCCGTCTTCCTCAGGTCTCCCCCTACCCCTTTCCCTGTAGTCCGTGCTTAGTAGTTTCTGTACTCTAATGTTATGAGAGGAAGGCGGCTGTAGGAGAAAGCGTTCGGGCGCTGACGGTGCGGTGCATCCACGAATATGCGATTGTTCGTCTCTCCTCTCGCATATTATTATCATATTGACTCCATTCGATATCCACCCACCACATGTCAGCGATCGTCTCATAACAGCAAGTGGCCCCTTCCTTTTCCTTTTGGTATGTTTGCCCATCTGGGGCTTGTCTGATTGGAGCACCGCCAATCACATCAGAGGGCATGTTTGACAAGTTCGAGACGGCTTGTCACCTCCTCCCGAACTCCCTTTATTTGAAGCCCTTGAATTGTTCCTCTTGGAAAGCAAGTCGCTTTTGTTCTGGCCCCAAGCTTTTTCTTTCTTTCTTTTTTTTTTTTTTTTTTTCATACTTCCAGCTTTTTTCTTACTTTATGTGCCCTCCTATCCCGTCGCATGATGAACATCTTGGCTTGAACAATCATATCTGCCACGATAATCTCTCGAGCTTTTCGGAACGTGAAGAACTTAAAGGAAATAGAGCGGATGCCCTACCCCTTTGGGCTGGATGGAAATTTGAAGGGCCTTTCTTCCCCTAGAATTCAAGCTTAATAGCCCGTATGATAGTGGGAGCTAAAGCGTGGTTCGCGCTGCCGCGAAACAATTACACCCACCTTCCTCGAGAACCAGTTGCTGGTCTCCGACCCCTGCCAGCCGGGACTCTCTGAACGGAGAATATGCCTAAACGGGAGCAGTGAGGCTTGCCCATCCCGTCCGTCCGTTCTCCCACCGCCACGATTGAATGGTACCAAGTACTAGCTTGACCAAGCAAATTCCCCTCCCCTGGGAATGGGATGCCACAACTCGGGCAGCCTTTTGGCAAGTTCATGTGGAGAGAAGTGACAATGAGCAATGGCTAGAGTCGTAGAAAAGAGACATTGGCTGGATTGAGAGATTGGTAGTGCGCCAGAATATCCCCCACCCTCTTAGCTCGTTGGGGGAGGTCCAGATCGAACAGAGTTGAGGTGCCCAGTCCAGTCGCACACTTAGTCTTACACAGTACACCAAGTCTCCGGTACCTTGTCACTTTTGGCTCGCAGACAATTGATCTCTCTCGCTCCTTCCTCGCACTCTCCCTCGCTCTCTCTGGTCCGAAAGACAAGAGACACTGGGATCCATCACTCCCACCGCCACAACGGCGAACCCAGTCCTCGACAACATCCAATTCACCGTACCAGCGGCTCCAATGCCCGCCCGTCTTCCCTCTCACTTCTTCATCGCGACAACATAATTCCTCCCATGTGTCTGGCTTTGGGATCGCGGAGATAGCGCACACGGGAAGCCCTTGAATTCCACCATTCTTTTCCCACCAAAGGAGCGCCCGTCGAGGTCCCGTGCTTTCGGCCCATCGGATCCTTTACGTCGTGGACGGGCCTGCTAATAATTTTCGCCCACTTAGTTGGCCCTCTGTCGCATTATTATCACCGATCGTCATTCGGTGCTCCTCACCCTCACTCTCACCTTTCCTCCTTTTCCCTTCCAATCTTTTCCAGCATCTCATATGGTATCGCGGCTTTGGCTTGCTGCTTCTGTGCCCATCCTTGAACTCCACGAAGGGTGTATGTCTCAACAATAACACCTGCGTCACCGATGGGTTGTCGTCACCCACCACAACCTCTCTCTGGCGGATGTGACCGGACTGGCAAGCTTGTAAACCTGCCGCCTCTTGCCCTCTCTCTTTCCCTCCCACAGTTGCGACGGACTTAGGGAAAGACGGGGAATCCGAACGGGTTTCCTAGACGAAACAACTTCAGTCATCGACTCGCCTTTTTCGAGGTCGCAGAACTTTGTTTTTGCTCTTCTCGTCATCAACGTTGCGTCCCTCCTTGGGCGGTCGAATTTCACAATTTCGCCTTCACACTTGGGCTCTACCCTCACTTCTCGCTCTCTAGCTCGCGTGTTCTTCGAGATCTTGGCTTCTTGGTCACTTCGTTCTTAATTCTGCCCTTTTTAGCCTGCGAGCGAGAAGTTTCCTCAACTCGGTCCTCATTGGCACTCCACGCTCTCCAACAATCGACAGTAGCGATCAACTTCCCGTTCGTTTGAAACAAAATCGACCGATCGGCAGAGACTCGTCAAATTGCTTGACCTCTTCACCCCCCTCTTTCTCTCTCTCCCCTTCTTCAAAACATTGCTCTTCCCTTGAAACACAAGGTTGCTCTCACTAAGTCCCTCTCTTCGCTCCCCAAGCGCATAGGGGACTTTTCACTACATAGTCAGTTCCCCGGCGACATCTGCTGTCTGCCGGGTAGACATGTTTAATCACTCGCCTAGTAAGCTTCATGGTGGTCTTGGATCCCGGAATGTCGAAGACCCTTCCCTCGGCGGCGTTGGGTTTGGCCTCGGGATCGAAAACTCCGACCTACACCAGCAGTTCCAACAGCGATTGCAACAGTTTCAGCAACAACAACCGCAGAACCACCACCACCAACAAAACCGACCGCAAGACCCTGCCGACTCTGCGAATAGCCAACCTTCCTTCTCGGCCAGCCTTTCCTTTGCGTCCCCGTCGCCACAGGATGCTTCGCTAATGCACGGCTTTTCAACGAGTATCGGGCATGGCCAGGCCCACAATCCAGTCCACGGCCAGGACATGGATATGAGCGATGCACACGTGCCCGAAGCGAGCGTGACGAACTTGATTGCGCAGTTCGAAACTCGAAGTACGAAACCGCCCAAACCCGCGAAGCCTTCTCATATTTCAGCCTTTAACCGCGCCAGCAATGCCCTTCGTGTGACGAGCCCAACTGGGGAACAGTTCACTTCATCCTCGCTCAGGGTACGGAGCGGGTCGATAGGCCGGCCGCCACCAGTTCGGTTCGGTAGTATGGGACACCAGTCACACTCTGGGATGCGAGTGACGAGCCCGACGCTCGGCCAGTCGACGGATGCGTACGGGGGCAGGGCGGCCAGTCGAAACAACTCGCGCTCAGTCGCTACCCCATCGTCTCCCTTCCCGACAATAGCGAGCTCGATGAACATGTCCTCGCAAGGTCATGCGCAAGCCAGCGCTCTCGGCGCAGTGCATCAGATGGACGGTGTACAGAACGAAACCTTCTTCGGCGGTGGGGCCATGCCTACTAGTTCCGGGAACCTGGATGGCGGCCAACCCTCGCCCTTTGGTTTTGCAAATGGCGGCAACCGGATGGTTCGGTCTATGCAGGGCCACATAATGGATACGTTTGGTATGGTGAGCCCGATGGTGGGCACGCCGACCTCGCCTTTGGAAATATCGACTACTCGGCACCAAGTGTGGTGAGCCCGATACAGAGTCCCGCCATTGATCCTTCTATCGACCCCTACGGCGATATTGGTGCCCTCGCCAACTTAGGTAGCAACGGTGGCGCCTCGCAGTTCGATTCTATGTCGTCCGTAGACCGAGTCCACAGCCCGATGCAACAAACAACCACAATGGGCGCATTTCAGCTAGGGCTGGATTCCAAACCGACGACACAATTCGTCAACACGCCGACTGACGCCTTCCAGAGCCTCGATCCCTTCCAGGCCATGAGCTCGGTCGCAGCGAATCACCACCACGGTCAGGTTTCGTTTGTAGATATGGCCGCCAATTCATCATCGGACCCGTTCGCCGATCTCGGGTTGTTGATAAAGCAAGAATCAAGTATGGAGTCAGGCCATTTTGATGCCGGCAATCTTTCGCCCAGATCCGCCGGCGGCGCAATCCACTCGCCTCTACACTTCGCCAACCAGGGCTACTTCCAACCGCCGGCCCTCCAGTCACACGCACAACTACAAAAACAACGCCAGCAGCATCCCCAACAGCAGGCGACACCACTACACCAACAACAGCAACATCAGCAGCACGGGCAAGCTCAGCCGCCCCTCCACCGGCGAAGAAGCCCTTCCTATCCCGGAACCAGCAGGACATGGCTGGAAACCAATCAACCCCCGGCTTCAGCATGTGGCGGCCGCCTGTCCCTTCCACCCCTAAACCCTTGGTATCTCACAGCCAACAACCATCTTCAGGCTCGATCTCCTCAGCGACGCCGAACAAGTCCGCTGCCTTCCTTGCGCAATCACGGGCCGAACTCCGGATACAGACAGACAACGCGCCTGGTCTCTCACAGCAGCAGCAGCAACAGCACCAGCAACATCAGCAGACTTTCAACGGGAGTCTATCTGTTACCTCCCCAACTAGCAGACTGGCCCCCTTCCATGGACAACGCCGTGCGAAGTCCCTCAGTCGCGTCTCCTGTAAACATCATCCTAGAAGCCTCTTGCTTTATCTTTCGCATGCTAATTAACGATGGCTTAGAACCCGCCTCCTCTTCCCGTGCGGCCGAGCCAGCAAGGTTCACGGCCGTCCAGGGAACAGGTCCCCGCCGAAGCGTGGGAGTCTATGAAAACGATAATTCGACAGTTGTATCTGGAGGAGCGGAAACCGTTAAAGGAAGTCATCCAGGTGATGGCGGATCGGCACGGCTTCCAAGCGACGTATGAAATATTTCCCCCGCCACCCTTTCCTTTCCTTTCCTCTTGCCTCGTGCGGAGACGAAAAGCTTTTCCGGGCTAACCTAGTAATAGGCCCAAGATGTACAAGACCAGGTTTTCACAGTGGGGTTTCGTCAAGAATAACACGGAGGATGAGGTCAAGAAGCTCCTATCAATGAAATTCCAGCGAGATGCCGAGGGTAAAGTATCGGAGTTCGTTCGGAACGGGAGAGTAATCAACCTAGGGACGTACCTAAAGAGGAAAGGGGTAACGGAGTACGATCTTGTCGATTTCGAGACACCGGCCGATCTACCTACTTACGTGCGATGTCGTACCCCAACGCCGCCTCCCGCTCCGGGCTATCTGCGGTCACCAGACCTGCTCCGAGCGCAGGAGACTGTTGTTGGGAACATGAGGAAAGCCTTCCTCCATTGCCGTCAGTCGGAACTGGACACAAAGACGACGGTTGGGTGGTCTATGGTCATGGTTTGGGGTTCGAGCTCCAGCGAGCTATTGTACGAGGCAAACAAACGGGTCGAGGCGGGCGATGCGGGCCAAGGAGAGGACCTGATTGAGGCATTCAAGCAGCTTGAGGTGGACCTGCAGAAGTTATCCCCGCAAGGCATCAAAGAGGTGCTCTTGGGCATGGTCCACCGCGACCCTGGCATGATGACGGCACTCTCCAAGTACCTAGCGGCTTACTCGGCGACGAACTACGAACGACTTCACCCCTACGGCAGATTTTTACGACGTTGTACGAGGTGCAGCAGAAACATGGCCCTCTAACGCTCTCAGAACTGGTGTGGGGCTGCATCCCGACCCTCGCAGATGAGCTCGAGTCGATATACGGCCGAAGACATCCGTACGTGGCAAGGACCTGGATCGATCTCTCCATGTTTTACCAGCAGGCGAACAGCGAGCGGTTAGAGAGCCTCATTGCCGAATACCAACCTCTCGGGCGATCGATTGAGTCGAAGGAAGGTACCCACAGTGCCGAGGATTTTGCCTTCCGTTACACGATGCTGCAACTACTCCATGCTGCTAACCCGCAATCACCAGTGCTTAAGTCAGAGACGTTGGCGCTGTGGGACGCACTCAAGCAAGCCGGGCGAGCTTCGCTCACGAGGAGCTCAGATGGCAACACGTACTGTGTGCATGACGCGGTCAAGGTCACGCCTTGGACCAAGAGGTGCAAGGATACGTACTCGGCGGTAGCCGAGCTTCTCAAAGGCATACTGGCGTCAACCCTGTCTTTTATTTCGAAGAGGACATGCACACATCGGAGCATGTTCCAGACGCCTCGTCCGCGTGGGCGGCGGCCATGGAGGTCTCTATGAGGGGTGGCAACAGGTTTATCTAAGCGCTTTTAGCGCACGTAAAGACGCCTGTCTCCCTGGTCACATTTTCGCCTCTCTCTTATCCTGGCTCATAGCCCTTCCCGTCGACCATTATCTCACCGACGCCCCTCGACATAGGCCAAGTCGCTGGCCTGTCTTCAACTAATGATAGTCACGACGAAGTCTTCACCACGTTGGCTTTTATACCAAGCTAGCCTTCCGCCTTGACGGACCGATATCAACATGGACAATCGCCCAAGATGCCGTACCAGCTCGTGCTGGCGCATATATTCCCTTTATAGTGCAATCTTTTTTTCACCCACGTCCATGGACATACCGAGTCCGGGACTTATGACCTCCCTTATCACGTCTATTTTTTATTTTTTTAACTTTTGAAAATTTCCTTCATTACCCTTCTGATTCTCTGCTTAGAGAGAAGAGGGGAGTGCAGGTTGTGTGGAATAATGTCCCTGGTTCATTTACCTGTGTATAATAGCTAACCTATCAGATCACTTTCCTGATATCATGTTGATGAAAGTACATATACCTTGCGGCGAATCACTCAAACTTCCCTTTGTTATTTTTTTTTCTTATGGAAAGGGCAGGAAGAGGGGAAGAGTTGGCTCTTTTATATATCATTTTACCAGGGGTTTCACCAGAGTTTCTCCTAGAAAGGAGAGAAGTATATGAGGGAGGAAAATAAGGAAAATGGGAGGAGAATGGGAGGATTCTCCAGTGGCGCCTCCTTTTCAGTTTACTTCTCACATTAGAGAAGGGTTGTGGTGGGAAGGGAAAGAAGATGGTATAAAGGAAGGGTGGGATGGAGGCTTGTCTTGAATTTTAGATGAAGGTGATACCAGTGTGGCATGTGTGTGAATGATAGATGAATTGAAATAATGTCCAGTTAATCCTATCTCTTATGGTGCTCTTGGATATCGGCCATACTTAAGAAGAGATGGGCTAAGTTGAAGTGATGCTCAACTAATGGTAGTATCTAAGATGTGCAAAAGAACGATACGAAGAAAAAGAAAAAGAAAAAAGGAAAGCAATGGAAAAAAATTTCAAGGTTTGTAGCATTGCTAGGTTTCGATCCTAGGTCCCCTGGGTTATGAGCCCAGTGCTCTACCCCTGAGCTACAATGCTGCGGAGTGGATGATTGAACGAAATCCACCAAAGCTGGCTCATAAAGGTAGGAAAGATGCTAGCCAATGGGAGTCAGCGCCTGCCTTTGTCTCCGTGACGCGCCACAAACTTTGAAGTGTTGCCTTTGTGGCTGTGGCTGTGCTCCAAGCCAGTCCTGGCGGCTTCAGAAACGCCAGAGTACTTCGTAATTGAGTCCACACCCACAGCCCGTGCCACCCAACTCCCGTAGCCAGTAACATGCGAAGAGACGGGGTGAACCCTCTGGCTTCATTCCCGAGAAGCTTAATTGGACAACCCGACATGGGGGTTCCGCTAGTGCTGAAGAATCGCCACCACCGGAGGCTGGCAGGGCTGCTTGACCCAGCTTGCCCAGCTGATTTGATCACCTCGAATCGGATCTACCATACTGTCCAAGGACTCGTGCTATGATAGGTTGTGGTATTTTTATCAGTCGATAGGCGGGGAGTGTGGATTTCCGTTGCTGCAGCCGGAGCCAGAGGTCTTTCACCAAGGTTTCCAATGTAAATGAGCGGAACTCGTCAACGCCCCATGTACGCAGAGGCCCCTAGAGAGATCAAGGATTGATTAGGCAGCGTTTCTCTTTAACCTTGACGCTCAATATGGAAAATGGGGCGCCGCCTATCACTGGGACGATATATTCTTCTCCTCCTATCTTCGCTACTCCCTCTCAGAACATACAAAGCAATAGTTGAGCGGGGGTTTGAAAGAAAGAAGCAACAAATTATCAACCTAGTGTAAAAGGAGAAAATTTTCTCTCGCTGGGGCTAAAAGCGTGGCGTCGAATAGGAGTTGTGAGAAGGCGCGGCTGGAGGGGGATACACACGCTCGATCCAGGACTATCGATGTCCTCGCTTTCTCAGGCATGGGGCGAGCTATTACTGGTTTTCCCAGACGCTTTGAGGAAAATTAAGCTTATTGACGTGACAAGGAGAGAGGGCTTTGTTGTGTTGCTCCTTTCTCTTCACCCCCTTTTTACCCTCCGCTTCTCTTCTCTTGATAGGTTTGGTATTATACTTGTAAGCGACCTTGCCCCTCCTCGTGGCCTATCGACATGCCTCCGGCCGCAAAAGAAGGGAGGAATGAGGGGTAGGCGCCAGTATTTGGGTTGATGGTATGAGTGAGTGGGAGGGAACGGCAGGCTTTTAATCTTTTTTTTTTTGATTGAGTGACACATTCCACGCCAATAGGAAGAAAAAGAAGGAAACAAAAGGAAAGGAAAAACAGTTTCAGGCCGACGCGCCCCCTTCACTCAGGTCACTGTTCAGCCCTACCATCGGAATAAGTGCGCTCTCTACATGTACAGGGTGGGTTTTTTTTCTTTCTGCTCTTTCTCTTTGTTCCGTCCCAAAGAACTTCCTCCTCCAACCCAACCGAGCCGGAAGTGCCTATCGTCCAGAGTTGTCCTCTTGCGCTCGAACAGGGCAAAGTGTGTCCTTGGGGAGGGGATCGAAGGAAGGGAACAAGGGTAACAAGGGGATAGCAACGCTGCGCGTGCGGTTGGCATGCTGGTACCGACAGAATGGTCGCCCCCGGAGCATCACCATCGTCAACGAGACCCGACGGCGGTACATCTAGGAGTATTTAAAAGGAGAAAAAACAAAGACTGGCCCCGAATGTCGACTTTTCCCTGCCGTGGAGGCGGGCGAGCCCAAGTCCTTCGATTAGACTACCCTTTTCGGAAAGCAGTGCGACACCGGCGCTCGGGTTGCGCCAGGCACGGGTGCGACTCACGAACTTGCTATGGCTGCGCCCGGCCTCATTCCGCACTTTTTGATTGGGCTGAGCACCCCTTCCCTCGGGCTGTGGCTCATTCAGTGCGCCTTCACTCTCGGAGAGCAGCTAATAAGGAGAAGGGGGCATCAGAGGGCAAGTCTGTTTCGTGCACCACTTCATAGTCCCCTCCCCCTTCCCTTCTTCCGCTCTGCATCTTTAGGCTTGAGGCTCGAGACGGAGATGGGGGAGGGGCTGGATCGACCAGACTATTGGATCTCGATACATGTTGCCCTGGGACGGGTGAGAGATTTGACGACCAGGGGTGTCTACGCTACAGGGCTGAGCTGTGTGGGTAGGTGCGTTGTGGTTATGTTTCTCTCCTTGTTTGCAGCATTGATGCCCGCGTCCTTGCTATTAGTCCTCCGGGGACTAGTGTAGCCCTCACCCATGGCTGGTCCTTGGTTTCTGTGGCGTGGGAACCCGGGCCTGCCTCCACCATAATAATGCACTCTTTTTGGTCGCTATCGTGATGCTTGGGCGTCTTGGGGCGGTGACATGCCAGTCAATTACTCAATATATAGACATCAGCAACCAGAGTTGCCCGTCACTTGTGGCACGGAGTGTTCCCATTCCGGTGCTTCTTTTTCCTTCTCCATCTAATAGTTCGACCTTGGATTCTGCTTTATTTCTTTTCTTTTTCTCTTCTCTTCCTTTTCTACAATCACGCGGACGGCCTTTCTTTGTTTCTGTATTATAGAGCGGAGCGGTGGAGCGCTTGACCGACTTCTGATACTCGGGATCTCGCTCACACCGAGGGCATGAACGCCCAACCTTGACACGCTGCATCTTTTTCACCATTTCGACGAGAATTAGGAGAGGGTATCTCTTCTAGCGCTGCGAAGAAACGAAGAAGGAAGGAAACACAATCCCAACACCAATAACAACAACGGCGCCGTTCGTCTCCTCGGACTTTGGTGTCGACTCGGGGTGAGTCAAGGGACACCGGGAAGATGTTTTTCAAGAGAAAGGACCAGGGTCGTTTGCAAAAGCGCGAGTCGACGAGATACTCTGCCATCAACCCGCTTTGTAAGAGCCCACACTCTCTTGACCCTATTGTGTTTGACGCCCGTGGGAAGCCGCACGTTGCCCTAACCATTCTTTCTCACTTGTAGCAAAGAAAGACTTGAAGAGCCGATCCTTCTTTGTCAAGTTCTACGGCCTCGTCGTTCTGCTCCTCGTGTCCTTGGCCTTGCTTGGCTTCACAATATGGCTCCACAAGAGGCTTCCTGATGGGGCCAAGTCTGACTTTAAACTTCCCTTTACAAAGCGGGAACTAGAGGGCGCCGGGCCCCGTCTTTCCAGCTCGCCCCGGGACGCCGCGGACACTGACGACGACGAGGCTGGGTTGGAGATTAGGCCCACAGCAACCGTCCACCGATACGTAAATGTCTATCGCCGAGAGTTGCAGGCCCGGACCATCGACCCCTCTCTGAATCCCTGGCTTGAGACCGCCCTTACCTTCCCCGCCAACACCCCGCTGCCATCCTTCAATTTGGCTGGCATTCCACTGCTCACCCTCACCCAGCCCATCGTGAACCCGTTGGCCCTGCCACTGGCAAGCCCCATTGCGCCCCTCATCACTGCCGCTGCGTGCCCGAACCCAGTCTGCTTCCCGATCGGGGTCACATTCGACCCCCACCTACCGATTTTTACTCTTTTCCCCGGCGGGGGTAGCGAAGGCGACATTGACTATGGCGACGCGCATTTTCCAAACACCGAGCCTGGCCCAAAGCGCCGCAATCTCCAGCCGCGCGCCGGCTCCGCTTGCTACTGCCCTACGGCTTCGGATCCCGTCGTCACGCCCACCATTCCGCCCATCTTGCCGCCCATCCTGCCGCCCGCGCCCCTCATCACTCAAGCCGCGGCGTGCCCGAACCCAATCTGCTTCCCGATCGGGGTCACATTCGACCCCCACCTGCCCATCTTTACTCTTTTCCCCGGCGGAGGCACCGAGGACGACATTGACTTTGGCGACGCGCATTTTCCTAACACTGAGCCTGGCCCAAGGCGCCGCAACGTCCAACCGCGCGCCGGCTCTGCGTGCTACTGCCCCACAGCAGCTCCGGATCCCGTCGTCACACCCACCGAACCGCCCATAACGCCCACGAACCTGCCGGGACCGAGCGGCTGCTCGGAGGGGAAGACCAAATCGTGCAACCTCTTGGCCGATGTCTGCTATTGCGTGGATATTGAAACTGGCACCCCGGAGCCGCCCACCGTCACCCCAGAGCCACCCTCTGTTAGCCCCGATCCCGAGGTCACCCCGGAGCCGCCCACCGTCACCCCTGAGCCACCCACCATCAGCCCCGATCCCGAGGTCACCGATGTGTGCCCTTCAGGCTTGACCTGGTGGTGCGACCCGGATGATGACCATTTCTGTCTCTGCGTCGGTACTGGCACCACCACTACGGACCCCCACCAAGCGTTACCCCAGACCCGGAGGTTTGCCCTTCGGGTATGGTGTATTCGTGCTTTGATGGACTGGAACTCTGCGACTGCGTTTACACAGGTACCGGTACCACAGAGCCGCCCACTACCGGCACCCTGATCCAGAAATTACAGACGTCTGCCCCTCCGGCTTGACTCGATGGTGCGATCCGGAGGACGACAACTTCTGCATCTGCGTTGGCACCGGGACCACTACCACGGATCCGCCACCATCCAGCACCCCAGACCCAGATGTCACTGACATTTGCCCCTCGGGCCTCCAATGGTGGTGCGATCCGGCGGACGACAACTTCTGTCTCTGTGTTGGCACGGGAACAACCACTACGGATCCACCAGTGACCAGCACCCCGGACCCGGATATCACCGACATTTGCCCCTCGGGCCTCCAGTGGTGGTGTGATCCCGAAGATGACAGCTTCTGCCTCTGCGTCGGTACCGGAACCACTACTACGGATCCGCCGCCGACTAGCACTCTGGACCCGGATATCACTGATGTTTGCCCTTCGGGTCTGCAGCGGTGGTGCGATCCAGAGGATGACAACTTCTGCCTCTGCGTCGGTACTGGAACCACTACTACGGACCCACCGCCCACCGTCACCCCGGATCCGGAGATCTGCCCTTCGGGTATGGTCTATGAATGCGATGAAGAATTCGATCTTTGCGACTGCGTAGCCACGGGTACCACTGGCACTACAGAGCCACCCACTGGCGGCACGACCACCCCAAACCCTGAACCTACCGACATCTGCCCCCAGGTATGGTGTGGGAGTGTGACCCCAGGACGATAACTTTTGCGACTGTGTGGCTATTGATGGCACCACCGACACGAACCCGCCAACGGATATCACGAGCTCGGAGCCCGAGACATCCATTGACCCTGTTACGACCATTACTGACATTCTCACCCCTACGGATACGGAAAGCCCCCTGATATCACTACAGATTCTGAAATTGATACCGATACGATTGGATCGCAGACCGAGTCGCCGCCTGCTACCGAAACGGATCCCCTGAGACAGATCCCATAGAGACAGACCCCGTAGAAACAGATCCTGTCCAGACGGACCCCGTGGTGACTGATCCCACTGAGTCGGATCCCGTAGAAACAGACCCAGTCGAATCTGACCCGGTGGAAACTGACCCGGTCGAATCCGATCCCGTGGAAACCAACCCAATAGAAACCGATCCAGCGGAAACCGACCCCGTGGAAACCGACCCTGTGGAAACTGACCCTGTGGAAACTGACCCCGTGGAAACCGACCCCGTGGAAACCGACCCCGTTGAATCCGAACCAGTAGCAACAGATCCTGCCGAATCGGACCCGGTCGAGACTGAAGCCGTCGTTACCGACCCAGTTGAGACGGATCCAGCTGTCACCGATCCGGCTGAGACGGAACCTGCCGAAACCGACACCGGAGTCACGCTCCTTGTGCAGAACCCGACCAACTCCGAACCCGCAACCACGCCCGAGGCCACGCCTTCCGCCCCAGCCACGGAGGAGCAACAAACGGCCACCGACCCTGCGACCACTGACGCTACCCAAGACACAAACTCCCCACGAGCGCCGCTACCCAAACCACAAACTCCGCCACTACTGATGCGACCCAAACCAGTGCCGTGACCAAGGAGCAGCAGACGACGGCGTCTGGGACCGCTTCCGCCACCGCCACAGGAGGTGCAGGAGGCGGCGGCGGTGGCGGCAGCGGCAGCGAGAATGGCGACGACCCGGAACCCATCATTGTGGTCTCCTGGCCGCTCAAGCGCTCGGTGCTTGCCAACCACGCGCCTCTCATCGTGGCCCGCGTGTTCACATCGTTTCTGGCCGGCGCGTTCCGGGACGTCACCTCCTTCGAGCCGGTGCGCCAGCTATTCTCGGTGGATGGGGCGTCGGGCGCCACGCTGGCGGGGACGACCTTTACCCTCATCCCCGTCATTGTCTCGGGTGTCGTGGCTGATATCGGCAGCGGTTTCGCGTCCGAGGCGGTGTATCTGGATACCAACTACTGCGACAACCCGGTTCTGGCCAACGAGCTCAACCCGTGCTGGCCGCCGCGCGTGAGCACCAACCGCTGGGCGCTGGGCGTCATGACGGGGTCCCTCGCCGTCGTGGTCGTGTCCCTCATCTACGTCGTCGCTCTCTGGCTGAGAACCCGCAGGGCGTGACGGCGGAGGCGGCCTCGTCCATTTCCGCCGTCGCTAGCGTCATGGGCCACCCAGAGGTGGAGCGGGACTTTGGTTCCGTTCCGTCCGAGCTCTCGAACCGGGGGCTCGTCGATGTCCTCAAGGATAAAAGTACACCCTCGGCGACTACGCGATCGAGAACGACGCGAGCACCCGCTGGGGCATCATGCCCCTAGTCCTGGCGGCGGCACAGGCGAGCAAGGGCCCGTCCTTCAAGGAGCGTCTCCAGGAGCGCTGGGCGACCCTCGTCGGGACCGGTCGCGCGGACACGCACTCCAAGTGGATGCGCCGACGCGAGTACCTCGACTACGGATTCGGTACCGTCTTCCTTGCCCTTCTCGGCCTGTGCATCGCCGCCACGGCCTACGTCGATGACCCCGCCGCATCTTCCGCTACTCCACGCGCGGCTGGACCGTCGGCATCCGCGTCGTCTTCGCCCTCCTTGCCATCGCCATCGCCAAGTACTGGGCCACGGCTTACACCGATGTGCAAAACCTCGCCCACTTTGCCCGCTTGCACAAGGCGCCGTGCGCCGCGCGTGAGACGATCAACAAAAAGGGCCACTCGCTGCCCGTCCTCTCTATCCTGCCCCTCCTCCGTATGGGCTACTTTTTGCCCGCTGCCGTCGCCTTTACCGCCCTTCTTAGCGAGTTCCTCGTCATCTGCCTCGCCGGCCTGCCCTACCGCCCTGGCCAGCTACGCGCCGAATATCTCGTGTGCGGGTCCATCGCCACCGTCATGCTCTTTATCATGCTCGTCATGATTGTCTTCCTGCACCGCTGGAGGCGCACCCTGCCACATATTCCCCGGCAGCCCAACTCTGTGGCGGCCGTGATGACGTACGTGGCCGAGACCAACATGTCGCGGGAGCTCATGAGCCTCAACGAGCGCAAGAGGAGGGAGAGGGAGAGGGCGGTCGAGGGTTTGGGCCGCAAGTACGGCTACGGCATCAGGTCTGAGGAGGACGGCCGGAAGAGGTGGGTTGTGGACGAGGTCGCCGTTGATTACGAGGCTGAGAGGAAGAGAATGGTTGAGGAGACTCATTACAGGCGCGAGGCGGGCACCATCTGATGATGATAGGGATGCGAGGAAGGAAGCAGAAGGAAGTGAGACTGTATACCCCATCCTCCCCCACCACCCCCTTTCCATTTTTTGTTTTCACGTCATATTTCATAGTAACCCTTTCAAGCGTTTTCTTTCTTCTTCCTTTTCCCCTGCACACTGTTTCTGAGCTCGTTCTGGCCAGGTTTTTGTTGATGATGGAGGACTAAGGGACTTGGCTATTTCGGCTGTAATGATCTGGTTCACGAGTGGTTTTTAAAGATCTCATGAGGCATTTAGAGATGGATATCAGCGATTCGCCCTAGAAGCGGCACTGAAACTGATTAGATATACGGTATCATGGATAGCGCATTTATAAATATTATATCATTAGGCTAGAAACCTGGGTGTTTTTACCAATCTCCTCAATCTAATACTAGATCCGTGCCAACAACACGTAGCGAGCCTTAAACCAATATACCTCTCGCGAATTCGATTCTCGCGGCGGTGCTAGTTCCGAAGAGGTACAAACGGCAGACGCGTTTCCCTCTTGACCCTATGGGTTGCCTGTTCGGCCCAGGCGATCGCCTTCGTCCCCCGAGTCGACTGAGCCTGGGCAGGAGCACGATGAGGCAGAGGACTAGAATGGAGACGAGGACGGCAATGGCCCAGTTGAGGGGCTCATGCCTATGGTCACGGTGTCGAAGTGAGCTACCGCACAGCACGGCAGCAAGAACATGTGAAGGGCTGGGCCTAAGGCTGGGTCGATACCGTACAGAAATGAGTGTACACGGGGCTCATAAAGAACCGCGCCTATGTGATGTCTATGCTTAGGCCAAAGTGGCGGCTTGGTCTTAAATTGGCAGCATGGCCAAGGCCTAGATAAATAGGAAACGCTGCCATGGAGTGGTTAGGGAGGAACTTGCAGCCAACATTCCCCTTTTCACATGAGGCTTCCTCGATATGGACAACTCATAGGTGACTCAGTAGTACAGGTCGGGATCCTATGGAAGAGCGGGCGGTGGCATCACCAAAGTGAGACACGTCGTCTCTTGTGCTAAAGCACATGCCAGCAAGCACTCTGTCGGCATAAGAGCGAGCGAATCACTCCACCCGCCCTACACACTTGGGTAATCTCTAAGCCCCGTCTAAGAGGTGCGACGGCCAACATTGTCGTCGCGCACAGATCTAGATTTTGGAGCGTTGCACGACGATAGAGCCGCCTTGAGACCAAATTTGGTCAGTCCTCCTCCTCGTTGTACGAGGCCACCTTGGTGCCACTCCCATAGACCGTACCATGTCACGTTGGAAAATTTGTCTTTTCAAAGTCAATGAAGTTTCATTACTATATTGTACGAATGAGGGGTATCTAAACAAGGACAACGTCGCGATATAACTCTCTTCATCCCGTCGCACCTCCCGGGCAAGCCCAACAGGGAGGACAAGGAAAAAGAGCTTCCAATCTTGCTAGCCTTTACGCACACTCAGTAGAAGGGAGCCCTCTGACTGAAGTGAGAGCAAAGAACTTGGCCAACTTATCTCCCAGACTGATTTTTAACTCCTCCACTACCACCTCGGAAAGCGCGGGGGCACGTCTGCCACTCCTCTGCACCGGTAGTGCCGACCCGCTCCTTAACTCACACCTATACCCAGTCGAGCTGGCTCCCGGACGGACCGTGCCTTCAGACACGTGGTGCACCATGGAAGCCGCGGTAGCCTCTTGCCCACCTCGCCGAAGTGCGTCCGCTGCCCTCCAGTACAGGCAACTCCAAGGCTGGTTGCCCGCCACGAAATCAGGGTCAAATGAGGCGGTGGGGTCGGGGACAGAGCTCCGCAAAAGGTCATGTACGATTTGAGCAAACGGAGCACGTCGTTGGCGCGGCAGTCGGGTAGCTGCGCATTGTGAGGGCCCCAGAGGTAGGATGAGTGATAAGGATGAGCTGGATGGCGGGCGTTGCCAAGGTCGCCGAGAAGCCAGTGTTCCGAGTGCACTCCGCCTCGCGATTTAGCGTCCGAGTGGATGCCCTCTGGTGCGATAAAGATATTGTCGGGCTTGATATCGTCGTGGCAGAGGCCGTGCGTAAGGTGGAGGTGTTCGAGTGCGGATAGCAAGCGGCCAAGAGAAGGTCTATACATGTTGTCGAGCTCCGTAACGGTGTAGCTACGCCCAGAGGCGCGCAGCCTTTTGGCGAGGGATCCCAGGCTGCCCGACTCGAAGAAGGGGTGATGAGGTGCCAGCCCCCTTCTCGCCGGCTGACTCTGGCACAAAGAAAGCGTCCGTCACTGGGACAAAGTCACCAAGACCTTCTGAGCGATTCGTTCCCGATACGTCGTAGTTTCCGAGAAGGAGAGTTGCTGGTATTTCGACAGGCCACCTCGCCCTACCAGAGGTACCAGCGAGGCAATTACGAAACGGGGTGCGCTCGCCGTCATACACTTTGATTGCCGACCCGTTGTAGGAGTAGACGTCACCTTCGCAGCCGCTAGCGAGATGCCTCCACTGCGCCTTGTGGCGGAGGGTTTCCTTTCCTCCGACCACCCCCGCCGAGAGCTTCCGTCTGGCCAGTCCCACAGCATTCCCTTCTGGCTAGTTTTGTCGTTGGTAAGCGGGGACTGGAATTGCGTTGGGCTAAACTTGTCGCGGAGGGCTTGACGATAAAAGTTGTGTAAATGCAAGGCATACATCAGACCCAAAGCGGCTAGTATAAGAGTGACAGACGTTCGTCGAGAGGTAGGTCTCACTTTATACCGTCTCCGCGGCGAAAGCGCGGGACGCTGTCGTGTGGGTGAGAGGATTGGTTCGCCCATCTCGGTGTTAGTCGTAAGAATCACAGCCAATGTTCAATTCCAAAATTGGAAATCACAGAAGAATGCATGCGCAGAGAAAGGGAAGAGAGCACACGACGTGGCTTCTGAACAATAGCATGGGACGGGGAGGCATCCCCTCAAATAAGCTTGTTTCGACGGCCATCCTAGAAGGAATTCCAGACTTGGACATCCCAAGTCCGCAACCAGCAGCACTCTATCCAAGACTAATACCGGGCCTGATTCGTCTTGTGGTCCTCCAGCGCTCTATCGCGCCCTTTTAAGACGTGCTGACAACCAAACAAGGTCTGCAGGACAAGCATGGATACGGCTCTTACGTGGGATGCGGACACTTATTGGACCATTGGATGTATGCCTACAGCAAATCAACTTGAAGGCCAGCACACCCGACTAGGAAGGGGCCTCATAGTCACAGGCGCAAACCTTGGTTTGTGATGGTTCGAGTGTTAAAAGGTACAATGCGGAAAATAATAAACCAGGCCGTTTATCCAAATGTCGATGGAATGACGCTGGCGGGGAGACGTGCGCCGCGGGTGACGTCACGAATACCAGCCCCAGCCACGATCCCCGGCGCCGACACCCGGCTTGGGTACGGCAGCCCTGGCCACTGATGCGGGCCGCTCCTGTGGGCATGGGCAATGAGGTTTGAAAAGAGATCCCAGGCGAGCGAGGATCCGGGGAGCGAGCACAAGTCAAAAAATTGTGAAACGTCAGATCCGGAGGGCCCTGTTCTGGCATCCAAAATAAATTAAATCTACCCCAGAGCTTATATGTAGGCTTTCAGGAACCGCCGTTCAGCGCTGCCTGCCAAGGAAAGGGTTCTTCCGCATATTGGAATGCTTGAAATGCTCGGGTCACCTTATCTCATTAATTCAACGTCTGCAAGGCTAAGAAGTATAGAGCCCGGCTTGGCTTGGTGTTGTCTGCACTTATAGCCATTCGATGCATTGCAAAGGGTTGCTCTTGAGAGCCCACCGGGTTTGTGAAGTGTACATATATTATTTAAGGCTACACGTATTTGGGGCAATCCCTCTCATAGCTCCTTGCCTACGGCCATTTGCTATCACTACATGGGGGCTATGGAAAGCCGTTGACAAACTAACAACGCCACTGTCGAAGTCGTCCGAATGCGTCAAATCTGAGCATCTGATGGTGGGATAGATTGATGACATATAACAATCCTTTTGTTTTCCGAATATATATCGACAATGCGCACGTAGAGAGTAGACGAGGAGGGCGTTGGAAATAGCAGTTGGCTTCCTTGACTAATCGCTGGATTAACAATCAGATATTCTATTGATGTAGATGGACATGACGGAATCCGGCATTAATCATCATTGAGCCCGAGGCAGGGGCTCAGCCATTGCCGGCTTCCATTCGCACCAGGGCCCGTCGTCCCCGCACTACCTGCGACTTTCCCCGTCGCTATTAGACCCCATAGCAACAACGAAGGGCCAATCTATCCACAATGGATATGCCGTAGAAAGTCCCATTCCATTCGATCAGGTTTGGTATGAATTGTGTCCTACCACACCCACCCCACACTACTCGTAATCATTGAATCGACCGGGAAACTCCCGATTCCGATTTCTAAGCTCCCGCCTACCCCGTTCAAATGAAGAATGGCGCGAAGAATGGCGCAACTTTATGAGGAGCGATTGTGGGTTTAGCGTTTAGCGACTATTTAACCCCAAGCTTTCCATTTTCTCTGGGTTTCTAGATAGCTATAATTCCGATTAATTCTTGTGTTGTGAAAAGCCTCAAGCTTGAAAGTTGCTGTGAATCGTGATCTTACCCTCCCTCCTCCACCTCTTATGACATCTCGCCTCCAGTCCCTCGCGAAACACTTCAAAATGCCCACCAAGTCCAATATTCATCTCTATACCGCTGGCACCCCCAATGGCTACAAAGTGAGCATCCTGCTCGAGGAGCTCGGTCTAGAGTACAAGGTGCGGGGTGTTGACCCTCCCCTTCCTATCATGCCCCTTCGATGAACAACATTTGAAACTAATCGTTTGTAAGACGACGGCCATCTCTCTGCAAAAAATACCCAAAAGGTAAGAATCGCAATTGCGGTACTAGCCCATCCGTGAAACCTCTTTTTCTAACTTCGATGTTGTCTCAGGAGCCATGGTTCCTTGAAATCAACCCCAACGGTAGGATCCCGGCCATCACGGATACCTTTGACGATGGAGAGCCGATTCGTATTTTCGAGAGCGGTTCCATCCTGCAGTATCTCGTTGATCGGTACGATAAGGACCACAAAGTATCCTATCCTTATGGATCCCGGGAATACTGGGAGGTGAACAACTGGGTAAGTGTGCATCCTCAATAGGCTCTCCCGCGAAGTTGCAACGTCCCCATCTAATCCAACGTTAATAGCTCCACTGGCAAATGGGCGGCTTGGGCCCAATGCAAGGGTAAGTCAATAAGTGAATTTCTTTCATCTCGACGAATTCCGTAGAATACTCGCTCATGATAATCTATCCGCAGACAAGCCAACCACTTTAAGAGTAAGTTAGCGCTCCGTGGGCCATAGGAGCCAGCGTATCAGTGTTTCTCCACTGCTTCCTCTTTGGGAATCACGAAACGGGTGGCTGACTTCCGGTGCAGGGTATGCTCCGGAGCAAATACAATACGGCATTGACCGATACACCAACGAGACCCGCCGCCTGTATCGCGTGCTCGAGACTCAGCTTGAGAAGTCCACCTCGGGCTTCCTTGTTGGAGACAGGCTCACCATCGCCGACATCTCCAGCGTTGGTTGGGTCAATTCTCATGGTAAGCCATGCCCCTCCTACCTATTCCTTGACACATTCGCTCTGCCAATATAAGGATGGCGGACAAAGAAAACAGTGAATCTGACCGTCGATTTTTATCTTCTCCAACAGCCTGGGCGGGTGTCCCCTTGGATGAGTTCCCCAAGCTAGCACAGTGGCTCGAAAACCTCAAGGCCCGAGAGGGTGTAAAGAAGGGCTTCGATGTCCCTGAGCCGAGGAACACCAAACCGCTCACTGACGCCGAAATCGAAAAGATTGCGGCGGAAGCGAGGGCCTGGGTACAGCAGGGTATGGCCGAGGACGCGAAGAAGTAGTGAGAAGGCGGAAGGGAGCAAGGATCAGGGTTCCCGTCGTATCTAGAATCGAAACTTGTGTGGTTTCCACAAATGCTAGTTTACCTTAATTTCTTCTATAAAGGCACATGTATACTGAAGGCATGTCCCTTCTTTCTATCCCGTACCGGACCTCACCAATGAGTGTTGAGAACCTCTGTGGTAAGGAGCTGCCTCAAGAGAAGGCATCTGAGTCGAGCGTTGCACCATTCGCTGAGGGGCTCGCTAGACTAGTATGAGTCGTCTTGATGCCAGTTACGCCTTGATTTGACAGGTTGGGCAGTGCTATAGAATTCCCTCTGCATCCATATTTCTCTGATTTTCTTTTTCGTTCCTCTTGATACCAGATGGAGATAAACTCAAAGTGCCTTGGGAGCTAAAGCTTGTTGAAATGGTTGGTCAAGAAGAGCCGACGTCCCAGCCTAAAGTAACCAACGTTAAAGTAACCAACGTGTGCTGCACGTTTTGGTGGCCGACGGATAGTTACGTAAGCACAAGGCAGAAATTGAGCCATCATTTTTCCAAGAAAGAAATAATATGCACGCCACCCACCCCTTTCGCGCTTTTCGAGATCTTTCGCATCCGCAACACCATATCTAACCCTGGTGTGATCATCACATCAACCCTTCTCCAAGATGTCGTGGCGAAACCAAGGAATTACAGGCTCTAACAACATCCCTTTGGGGAAGCGTCGCTTCGGCGGCGATGAGGATGCGACGCCACCTGCCGAAGATATCGACATGGGCCATAAGCGAGGCCGAAGCCCTGAGCCAAGTAAGTCTCGTCCGTCATCCGCGCGTGGAGGGCAAAGGGAGAGCCCCATGGCTTTTCTCTCCTCTGCGATCGCAAGTCTCTCGGGAAACCACATCCTAACCGATCTTTGAATTTAGGGAGCGAAGCCGACGGACCGAAGCGCCGCAAGAAGCGAAACCGATGGGGTGATGCCTCAGAGAACAAAGCCGCCGGCCTAATGGGCCTCCCCACTGCCATCATGGCAAACATGACGAGCGAGCAACTTGAGGCATATACACTTCATTTGCGAATCGAAGAGATCAGCCAAAAGCTTCGCATCGACGATGTCGTTCCTGCTGACGGTGACAGGTATGCTCACTCCATTGAAACATGCCAAGAATGGGCGCTGACGTTTTATTTCCACGATAGGTCCCCTTCGCCCGCGCCTCAGTACGACAACCAAGGTCGTCGTATCAACACGAGGGAATACAGATACCGCAAGCGCCTGGAAGATGAGCGACACAAGCTCATCGAGAAGGCGATGAAGACGATTCCTAACTACCACCCGCCCCAGGACTATCGCAGACCGACCAAGACCCAAGAAAAGGTCTACGTGCCTGTCAACGATTATCCCGAGATTAACTTTAGTATGATTGCTAACCCTCTAACCCTCGTGACTAACCTGCCCCACCCTACCCTCTCGTCCCCCTCCCTCTCCTTTTGCTTTCCGTACCTTGTATCTTCCCGCCCCGTTTGGAATACGGCCAGATATCTTGCCATGCCGCCGCCCCTGTTTTCCCTCTGTGGTGTTGCGCGCGCTTTGTAACTGGTCCTATGCCGAAAATGGCTTCACTTAACATATTATGCTCTGCCTACACATCGTATTCGAGACTAACACGTAGCTTTTCTCCCCCAAAGTTGGACTACTCATCGGCCCTCGTGGCAACACACTCAAGAAGATGGAACAAGATTCAGGTGCCAAGATTGCCATCCGAGGTAAAGGCTCGGTCAAGGAAGGCAAGGGCAGGTCCGACGCCGCGCACTCCAGCAACCAGGAGGAGGATCTCCACTGTCTTGTCATGGCGGACACGGAGGAGAAGATTAACAAGGCCAAGAAGTTGATCCACAACGTCATCGAAACGGTATGGAAACTCCCCCTCTTTTCCCTCGCATTTTATCAAAGTCCTGGATACTAACTTTGTTTGTCTCCCCCTAGGCCGCGTCTATTCCTGAGGGTCAAAACGAGCTCAAGCGGAACCAACTACGTGAGCTTGCTGCTCTTAACGGTACACTCCGTGATGACGAGAACCAGGCATGCCAGAACTGCGGTCGCATTGGTCATCGCAAGTACGATTGCCCGGACAAGCCCAACTACACGGCCAGCATTATCTGCCGTGTCTGCGGTAACGCTGGACACATGGCCCGCGATTGTCCTGACAGACAAAAGGGTGCCAGCTGGCGCAATGATAATGGCCAAGGTCGTGGTGGCAACGGCGGTGGCCGCGGTGGCGACGCCGTTGACCGCGAGTACGAGGTATGTTTTTATCCCCACCTTTTTCTCTTCGCCAGCCCCTGGCTGGGGTGGTGAGGCCATTTTCTTAAGGACGACTGCTGACTCGATGGATAGCAACTTATGCAAGAACTCGGCGGTGGCTCTGGCCCCCTGCCAGGATTGAGGCTGGCCCTGGCTCGAGCAACGGTGGCCCATCAGATAATGCCAAGCCATGGCAACGGGGACCTCCGGCCAGCGGCGGGCCGACTGGTGGCCCTGCTCCTTGGCGCACACGGCGCGACAATAACGACTTTGGAGACGGTGGTGGTGGCGGTGGTGGCGGCGGCGGCGGTGGTGGTGGTGGTGCCGCTCCCTGGGCCCGTGACCGTGAGCGGGATAGGGACCGAGGCGACCGTGGCGATCATCGTGGTGACTACCGCGGTGATCGCGGGGATCGTGGTGACCGCGGTGACCGGGATCGAGGCCGCCGTGACGACTACAACAACGGTGGTGGTTACGGCGGCTACGGTGGCCGCGGCGGTGGCGACCAGTACTCTGGCCATGGCAACGCCTACGGCCAGAGTGCCGCTGCCCCCGGCGCCGCCCCTTGGCAACAGGCTCCTGGAACGGCCCACGGTGGTTACAGCGGTTATCCTGGCTACGGTGGCTATGGCGCACCTCCAGGAATGCCTGGCGCACCTCCCGGGCTGCCCCCGCCTCCTCCCCCGGTGGCCCCCGTCTGGCATCAATGCTCTTATTCAAGAGTACTCTGGAGGAGTCCCCCTCCACCCTCCGCCATCTGGTGAAGCGCCGCCTCCTCCCCGAGCGATCAACCTCCTCCGCCCCCTCCTCCTGCCTAAGTGGATGACCGAGTCCTGAGCCGAAGATTTGCAAGGCTTTCTTGTTCAGAAAGCTACAGCCCACTCAATCTGCTCGAATCTTTGTCCAAACTCGGAAGGATGACAACTAACAAATGATATTCTCCCCGGCCGGCTCTCCTTTCCCTAACGTTTGCATTTTTCTTGTCCTGTTTTACCATCCGAGTTGCGTTTGAAAACCAAAAGTTGCATGGCGCCTTTCGATTCCAGCGGGGAGATTCTCGTCGACATGTACGTCGAGGCGAGAAAGGAGCTACTAACTCAAACTGACTGTTGCATTTCTGGCTCAATCTGTAAACCTAGGCCTTCATCGGCCAATGTTTTTATTTTCTGCTCACCCACAGGTTCTTTGAGACGATCGTGCCGAAGGCGCAGATGCTTTATGGGTCGGCATCAGTCCGCCGCGCGTAATAGTATCGGCAACAACTGAAAATACAGACCGTGTACTTATACTAGCCCCTGTTTTAAGAGGGGATGGCTGTGGCCAAAATGCCATGTGATCCGACTGTTTTGTTAGCGATCGTAGTGGCAATCACGTAGTAATCCCAGAATGATCAAGAGCTTCCCTTTTCGCCTTTCCCCTTCTTTTGCCGTAGGACCACTGCGAATTGAGGCCCATCGTACCATTTTTGGGGCCTGGAGGGCGTTTCTTGCGCCGGCTCCAGGTTGCGAACAAACCAAGGTCGGATACATGGGAGATGAAGCCGCGAGGTCAGGCAGTTGTCAGGCTCGCTTACTTTGGCCGTCGTTGTCTCCAAGCCACGCTAAGATGGCTTTTGGGGTAGCGTCTACCCCACAGGTGCTGGACTAGGCTTAGCCAACTCTTGGGCTTTAGTGCCGGTTACAATAATGGTGGGGTGGGTGGCAGGAAGCATCGTGTGCGCCAGAGTAGCTTGGCCCGCCGTCGGACAATATTCAGCATCAGATGGGCTGGGGCGGATGAATCCGCCATAAGGTCTGGAATGCTTCAATTCGATGGTTGCGGCCGGAGTCGGGTTTCCGCGATCAGGGACGACTCGTGGCTCGTTCGCCATTCTAGTTAGTACATGTAGGTCTCAGAACCTGAGATGGCGGAAACTCGCTACCGAGGAGAGGTTCGCGGACTACATGTAGGCATAGAGATGCCGTTTGGTGGGCTATATTGTGGGATCCCCATGTTTTTCTCCCCACCTTGCGGCCACTCGCTTTGGATGCAAGGAATCACTGGAGGGTCAGCTCCGTCTCTCGCCGAGTGTTCTTTCATATTTTCTCTCCTCCTCCTTCTCTTCCAATGCCAAGGGGCTATCATGGAGACATCAAATTCAGTCGGAGCTTAGCCTAGTGGGAACCGGACTCGGGGATAGAAGCGCAGACGCCATCCTCGCGACACATGCAATATCTCTATGAATCGGCCGGCGACGAAGTGAAAGTGGGGGCCTCTGGCCTGGTCCGCCCCTTCCTTCCTCTTGGAGGCTCTTTGATCGTGCGTTTTCTCGCCCCAAAAGCCGATAGCTTCAACCTTGATTTGATGGAGACTTACGCGTAGTGCCCCATAATCCTCTTTTTCTCCAAGGGCCGAATAAGGCCGTTTTTTTATTCCCCTTCCTCATTGGGACGTTGAATGTCCGGACCGGATTCGTTAGACACAAGCTCCAGCTGATGCTGCTGATGTGGGATTTAGCTCGCTTCAACAATCATACTTTTCTTGTCTCTTGGGGTTTCCACTCCCGCAGCACCGTTGAGGAATTGAATTTGAAAGAGCAAGGTTCGGTACCTACGAGTATTAAAATCAAGGCCCTTTCCCCCGTTTCTAGTCCCCGTCTCCTACTATGTGTCGTTATCAATGAAAAAGAAAAAAACCTGAAGAGTTGAAAGCTGGCTTGGAAATTTGAACAAAAGCCTGGTAATCGCTGCTCTCACCCGCATCTCGCCCATCCCTCCCTGCCGCTGAAGCCGACCAACCCCGCCACAGAGCCAGGGGATCTCCCCCAAACACTCATCTACTCGGCTTATTACGTGCAGCAAGTGGGTGTGGGAAAGCTTGGAGCTCCAAGCTCAAACTCCGCTGATCTCGCATCAGCGTTGGAATCGCCCACGCATCCGCAGCGCATCTCCCCTCACTTATCTCGGGGCCCTCGCAGCCTTGTTTTAATTCTTTGTCTTTCTTCTTTTTTTTTCATCCACCCTATCTTGCAAATTTCACCTCCTTCCCTTTCGCACGTAGGGATCTTGTCTTTTCCCCCTCCCCCTTTACCTTTTCTATCTACTTCCTCTTCGACTTCGCCCTTCCCGCCCGTTCGTCGGGTGACCATCTTCTGATCTGGCTTCGACGTCCGCGTAGACGTGGGCGATCATCGCTCGAGCAAGCTATTAGCGCAGGGGAAAGACGGGTGCTAAAAGGGGAAAAGAAATCGAGAAAAAGCACAGGATGAAGTGGTACAACCCCTTCGCGTTCCGTCCGGCACAGGTCACCTTTTGGACGACTCTGCTGTATATCGCGATTGGAGTCTCTATCATCTACGTTCAGGAGACGGTCCCACCTGCCCCCGAAGACCCACGCCCCTTACCCGGCGTGGACCTAGATGATGCGTGGGCCGACTTGACGACCATTACCAAGGCTTTCCACCCTTACAATAGTAGGTTCAACGAAGATGTGAGGGACTACATCGTGGAGAGGCTACAGGAGATCTTGAACGCAAACGGCGTGCGGTGGACGTCTGAGCTGTCGTGGCATAGTATCTCGTGAGTTTCCTACCTTCCTCACCTTTCTCGTAATCCGCTCAGGATACCTGGTTGCTCAGCTGCCCCCAGCTTGCAGCCTTTTCTTTCCCGCTCATGGGCGATATGCTAACACGGGACCAAAAATAGGGCATCAAACAAGAAGTTCGCCGAGGCCAACGCTCTCTCCGAGAAGAACGCCAAGGCCGTCATCTTCAATGACTTGGTGTCCAATGTCACGGCTACGCTAGGTAGGAGCAGCAGCGCGGCTAACGTGGATCCAACCTGCGGTTTGGGAACCTACTTTGAGGGGTCCAACATCATCGTTTACATACGTGGCACCGACGACGATGAAGGCGAGTGGTGGAAGAAGGCGCCTCACGAGTGGTCGGCTAAGCACCACGGTGTCCTAGTGAATGCGCATTTTGATTCGTAAGTGGATGTCTGCTATTCGTTCATGGAATCATGAGGCAACGGCAATTTAACGTTCTTTCTTCTCAAAAGGGTCTCTACTGGCTATGGAGCTACAGATGACGGCGTCGGCACCGTGTCTATCATGCAGATGATCGGCTACTTTACCGCCCCTGGGAACCAGCCCAAACACGGCATCATCGCCCTCTTGAACAACGGCGAAGAGGAGTACTTGTGGGGCTCCCGCGCCTTTGGCGCCAACCCCGTCGCGCCCTTTGTCCACACCTTCTTGAATCTCGAGGGCGCCGGTGCCGGCGGCCGTGCCGTGCTCTTCCGATCGACCGATCTCGAGGTAACCAAGGCCTACGCCCAGTCCCCTAGCCCCTTTGGCACCGTCGTTGGCTCCGATAGCTTCGCTCTCGGCCTCATCAAGAGCCAGACGGACTACATCGTCTTCAACGAGGCCTATGGCGCGCGGGGGCTCGACGTGGCCTTCTACGAGCCCAGAAGCATGTACCATACCATGCAGGACGACACCCGCCACACCTCGCGCGCCAGCCTGTGGCACATGTTCTCCGCCACCCTCAGGACCATGGAGTACCTCTCAGGCGAGGCCGGAGACCAGTTCGTCGGCCCCCGCCCAGATAAGGACGTCGGCAAGGTCCAAAACGGCCACGGCAGCGACGGCGTATGGTTCGATTTCGCTGGCCTGTGCTTCGCCCTCGTCGGTTTGCGGACCTTTTTCGCCTGGTCCTTGACTCTGCTCATCACCTCTCCCCTCTCCCTTATCCTTGTCTCGTGGATCCTCACCAAGAACGACAAGTATTACTTCTTCTCCAGCAAGGTCTCTTCCCACGATAGCGTTGGTGGCAGTGATTCTGCCGCCATCAATGGCTGGCGCGGTTTCTTCCGGTTCCCCCTCGCCATGATTGTGGCGAGCGGTGCGGTCGCCGGGTCGGCGCTGCTGTTGAGAAAGTTTAACCCGTTGATTGTGTACAGCAGCTCCTACGCTATGTAAGTGTCAGCTTTTCTTTTTCTCTATCTTTTAGCTTTTCCCTTTTTTCGCCCATGAGGTGCTAATGGTGTGCTTTCTTCTCTTAGCTGGGCTTTGATGTCTTCGCTATTTTACTTCTCGCTGTGGGTGATCATGCGGGGTGCCAACGCCATGCGGCCCAGTGCCCTCCACCGCGGCTACGTCTTCATCTGGCTCTTCACCATCACCTGGACTCTGCTCATCGGAGTCACCGTGCTTCAGGACAGGCTCCGCATTGCAGCGGGCTACCCCTTTGTCATTCTACACGCCTCCACTTCCCTCTGCCTCCTCATCTCCCTGTGCGAGCTCTTTGCCCTTCCGGCCAAGAAGGATTTCTCCCGTTGGTCTCAGGTGCCCCCTGCTAGCGCCGCCTCTGTTATCTCGAGGGAGTCAATCCACTCGCGCGACCGTCTGAGCGAGGTCAACGGCGCGTCGTCTTCCAAGGCGCCTATCGATGATGACCGCGAGTCTTCTGATGAGAGGACGCCGCTCATCATCAGTCGAAGCACAACCCGAAGCGACAATGTCGGCCGCACTGCCTTCTCCACCAACTACCGTCGCTCCCTCGGTTCAATCGCCGACGAGATCCACGGCCATGCTGAAAGGCCCGGCCCCAACGGCGTTGAGCCCTTCCATCTTGAGCAAGAGTGGTCGGCCCAGCTGCCAAGCTGGACCTGGCTGCTCCAGCTTCTCATCCTCGGACCCTCCACCGCCTGGTTCTTTGGCCAACTTGGCCTGTATCTGACCGCGGCCCTCTCCGCAACGGGTGCTGATGGTTCTTCTCTTTTGGTCCCCTACGCGGCCATCGGCCTGTTCGTGGTCCTTTCCTTCCTCCCCGTTACCCCTTTCATCCACCGCGTCCCCCACCAGCTGCCTCTCCTCTTCTTGGGCATTTTCGTCGGTACCCTCTTTTACTCCCTCGTCGCCTTCCCCTTTTCACACAACAGCACCTACAAGATTCTGTTCCAGCAGACCCTAGATCTTGACACGGGCGCCTCTACTATCGCTATTGACGGGCTCGAAGAGTTTGTCCGGCCTATAATTGCCGAGCTACCGTCCGCCGCCAAGAAGGAGGTGACGTGCAAACCCTCGACCCATCATATGCTTACCACGTGTTCTTATGACGCCTCCGCTGTGCTCCCCAACCTCCAGCCTGAGGTGGTCCTGCCGGCTGACACACCGCGCGAGAAGCGCTTCCGGAATCTTGTCTCCTTCAACGTAAGCCAGCCCGATGGGCCGCAGTCGAACCGGGCCGTGTTTGAGATTGACGCCGCCAACACCAAGACGTGCTTCCTTATTTTCCACAATAAACACGCCACCAAGTTCGAGGTCGAGGGTGGCACCGAGTGGGACCCTCGGTTCGGACCCTTCCACGACCATGGGCTCTGCCAAGTCCGTCTGTGGCGCCGCGATTGGAACAAGGTCTGGCGCGTTGCCGTGGAGTGGGACGACGTCCCAGAGTCCCTCGGCGGCGCCGAGCAGGAGCTGGGCGTTCCCGCTGAGATGGAGGTGGGCCATGACGGGGAACTACGCGTGCGGGGTGACAAGCATGCTAGCAACAGGCTGGAGGGTGAGGTCGCGTGCATGTGGGCCGACGCCAACGACCCCGAGATGATGCCGGCCTGGCATGAGGTCGTGCAATTCTCGCCCGTGTGGGTATCAGTGACCAAGGTTGGTGAAGGGCTCGTGGTGGGGACGAAGAAGTTTACAGTGTAAAGGGTGGTTTACCTCCAAATTATGAAGGGCGTGTTCTTCTTCTTTCTCTTTTTCTTCTTCTTCTCTTAGTTGTTTGGTATCTGTATATCCTTTCGGCTCCTGTATGGTCTCTTTTACCTTTTATTTTTTTTTTTTTACCTTTTTCTCTTCCGGGTTGGTTCCCGGAATGTGCCGTTAATGAGGAAGGCTCACGTGTACGAAGGGTTCATCAAGGGACCAGTGGTTTATCAACCCATGATATGGAGTATAAGGGGTTAGGTGCGTACTTAAATATTACGCCAGGTTGCTTCAGGGGTCGTTCTTGTAACTCGTCATTTGTGGGTATCTAGTTATAAATCTGATGGAATATATATATCGGGCTAGGGGCCCTTCAAAAGCAACAGGGCTTCTACATCCCTTACTCCTCCATTGGCTCTCCTTGACATGGGCAGCATCCTTGCCGCTAGTCTCGAGGAACGCTCTTCCCTTGGCCCAAAGCTCTGCCTCCATTTCCCTTTCGACGCGGTTCTTCCTGCTGTTGAGCCATCCGACATCCAGGTTACCAATAGTGCCGGCAGCGGTGGGGTTGAGTGAGGAAGCGGGACCGGCCTCATCATCAGCAGCGAGGGCGGCAGCGTTGGCACGATCGTTGGCCAGGTCAATGATGCCGGCCTCCTCGAGGCCGAGGATCTGGCGCTTCATGTGGACATCGACGGTGTGTAGGGTGGTCATGAATGCGTCCATGGAGTCCTGAAAAGTCTGCTTCTGGGTGGAGAGCGGGACGGTGGAGGAAGGGGTGAGGGCGCTGAGAGCAGAGGCCGTGTGGGCCATGAGTTTGGATATGTTCTGGTGAAGGGGGCCACAGAGTACAAGAAACGCGAGGAAGGCGAGTTAGCGATATTATACAAAAAAAAAAAAGAAGATAAAAAGCTAGATGTCATGAGAGCCCACCACAACGGCTTGCATTGTAGTCTGACCTCTCGTGGTTTTAGGAAGGGTAATTGGTGTTTACCTTGTCAATCTCGCCAAGTTGCTGGATGCGCTCGGCGACGGTAAAGGGCTTGAAGGAGTCGGCGGTGGTATCCATCACCATTGGATCCGGGTTGGAATCCATTGTCCTGGCGTCTGAGATGAAGGCACCTTTTGATTTTTATGAGACGGCATATGAGTTTACGGGTTCGGGATGGGAATCGACCGAGTGGACCCGAGAATGGATCTTTATACGGGTGCGTTTTCGTGAGATTTCATGGATCAATGATGGGTGGCTCATGGGAAGCTGCCATTGAGTCCCCGGCTTTTCTAAGGGTCATGGTGGGGGCGGGTCACAGGAAGCTATGAGCTTGGTCTCTCCAGCAAGTATTATGTACTATTGATGCACGCTACAATGTGGCGCGCCGTGCTGGCACTCAAGCGCCCCGTGTAGTCGTATCACGTGACAACGCACCTCTGGAACTTGAACGGCCGCGGCCCTGCGCTCGGTGCTGGTCGTCGATGGTGGTAACCATTGCTAGGAGCTGCTATTGAATTGTTATGCGCGGCTGGTTCATCCTCTCGGCTTCTCAGGTCAGCCTTGCCTCAAGACCTCACCACCATCCACCTCCGTCAGCCACCCCAGTCAGAAATTCATCGAGGCCTCATAACACAACTTCGGAATTTTTCATCCCGCCTCATTCCTCGTCATCAAGCAACCCTTCTAGAGGGTGTTCTCTTCCTAAAGTTGTGCCAATTCTCCGCATTTCTACCAGGGACTGGCCCTTCGCGCACGACGCGCTCCCTTGTCAAGGGGTGGCCTTGGACTCTTAGCTTTATTCCCGCCTGTTTTAATACATCTCCAATCGGCAAATCCCGAAACAACAAAAAACAATAAAATGTCGACGACGGGCCAAGGTGCTCCGGCGGCCACGACGCCGGGGGTAGCTGCCGGTCAACCAGCACCGGGGCCTCCTCTCTCGAACCAGAATCTGAATCAGATTGTAAGTTCTCTTACTGCTTCTTCTTCTTTCTATTTTTCCTGGGCCTGTTGTCCTGGTTTGCTTGAATTCTTGCACCTGTTACCTCCTCTCTTTGTGCTTTTGGAAAGGCCTGCTGGAGAGGGGTAATAGATCCATGATCTCTCCCAAGACCCTTAAAGTTGGGGGACCCTTGAGCTTTGTTGTTGAAGTTGATGCCATTGATTGCTCTAGAGATAGATGGACATATTTCCAGAAGTCTGGTTTTGTTCTTATTTGTCTTATAGCTTCGAAGGACACGCTAGATTGTGGTTATTTGTGGCTCTAGTGGGCAGGCCTATTCTTGCTCGCAAACTGACTACACTTTCCGTTCTGTGGATTTGCTCTAAGCTATACCAAAGGCTTTCTGCCTTTATCTAAAGGTGTGAATTAGGTAAGAGGGCTTCAAGATAGCAGAGAGCTTAGTGTTTGTGGAATAATTCAGTGTTGGGGGCTATAGGAGGAGAGAGGCTTATATCAAGTCATCCCTTCCTCAAAAATTACCTTCCAACTTCTTGGATAATGGAGCTATCTTTAGACAGTCACTCCTGATCTGGAATGAGTGCTTCAGATTGAAAGTTTGGCGTACTTCTTCTGCTATCCACGCCGTTCTTTATGCCTCTTTCTATCTTTCCTTTTCTTCTCAGTTGTCGCCCTTTTTCTTCTTCCTTTTTTCTTTTTCTTTTCTCCAATCGAGATTGCTGCAGGATACCAAGTTACTAACTATGAAAACGTAGGTTACGGAATTCTTGCTGAAGAGGGGATACACCCGTACTGAGCTCGTGTTTAGAGATGAATCCAAGCACATCAATGAGGAGGGTAGGCCCATCCTCGATGACGCAGACATCTACGGGCCGCGGAAGTACATCAAGGCGTTCAAACTTCTAAAAGATTGGGTTGAGAACAGCCTCCAGATATACAAGGTACAGTTTGTAATAACGCACCCCTCCAAGAACTCTTTTTGTTGCTAACTCTATGCCCAGTTTGAATTGGCCAAAATCCTTTGGCCTTTCTTCGTCTACTCGTGGATTGAGTTGATTGAGGTTGGCCAGCGAGACGTTGCTAAGCAGTTGCTCGAGGACGTTACCCCAAGCTTTGAGAAGCACCACATTGACGACATCAGAACATTTACCACAATCTCGATGCCTCAACATCTCAAGGAAAACCGCATCACTAGTTTGTATAAGAATAACAAGTACCGTATCCCCTCAACCCCCATGTTGCAGGCGACCTTTTCCACTTCCTCGAGCGCGAGGACTCCAGCGGCGGTGCCTGTATCCGCTATATTCTGCAGACGCACTGCCAAATCGACTCGGCGGCTCGTGGCCCCATTACCCCCTTTAGTTTCGAGGCTATCTCGCGGCGAACGCAGGGTCGTGATTTGGAAGACGTTGATGCCCAGGAGGGTATCCCCGGTGTTAACATTGGCGTGTCGAATAAGGATATCCTTGATACCGTGGGAACCCTGACCCTCGGCCCCCTTCCCATGGAAGAAGGCCTGCGCGAGGACGTGCGCGCGGAGCTCGTTGAAGAAGATCAGCGCAAGCCTCCTCGGCCCGGCCAGCCGAGCTTGGTTGATGAGTTTGACCAAAGATCAAGCGCGAGGAGACGGACGACGCTCCCAACCGTGCAGATCTCCCTCTGCCACCCTCGCGCGCCCGCGACGTTATAATGGAGATGCAGAAAGTGAGGGAGAACCGTGACCGCTTCAAGATTGAAGGGCGTACGGGCGGTATTGGGGTTGGCGTGAGTTGCTGCATGTTTACCTGGCACAACACCCTCGGAAGGTTAGTCTCGTCTCTCTCTCTCTCTCTCTCTCTCTCTCTCTCTCTCTCTCTCTCTCTCTCTCTCTCTCTCTCTCTCTCTCTCTCTCTCATATCGTAAACCGCCGCCAATAACCCCACTCTAACTCTAATTTGACGATGCAGCGTCTCTTGCATGGACTTTTCAAAGGACCAAAAACTTGCCGCTGTAGGAACCATGGACTCGTACATCCGTGTCTGGACTCTCGACGGCAAGCCTCTTACGTCCAAGCATGCCTCGGAGAAGGATCTCAAAGTCAACAACCGTAAGCTGATTGGTCATTCTGGGCCAGTCTACTCCGTCTCATTCTCGGATGCCATTGACAACAAGACAAACACCCTCTTCGGCCAGACTGGGAAGGAGCTCCCCGAGACGGGCCCCAAGTTCCTTTTGTCAGGGAGCGGAGATGGCCACGTCCGCCTGTGGTCGCTGGAGCTGTGGCAGTGCCTGTGCATCTACAAAGGTCACAGCGGTCCCGTTTTCCGGGTGTTGTGGGGACCCCATGGGCATTACTTCCTGAGCGGCGGGTGGGACAAGACGGCTAGAGTGTGGATGCAGGACCACGCGTCAGCACAGCGGATGTTGGTGGGTCATGACACGAGTATCTCGGCCATAGCCTGGCACCCCAACGGTACCTATGTGTTTTCTGCGTCGGACGAGACGGATAAGTCGATTCGCATGTGGTCCGTCATCACCGGACAGTGCGTTCGCGTGTTCACCGGACACACAGATTACATCTCCGCTCTCGAGTGCGCGCCCAATGGCAAAATTCTCGCCAGCGCGGACAATGCGGGCAACATCTTCTTCTGGGACCTCGCCAAGGGAACGCGCATCAAGAGGTCGCGGGGCCACGGAAAGGGTGGCATCTGGTCGCTTAGCTTTAGCGCCGAATCCACCGTCCTAGCCTCTGGGGGCCAGGATAACACGGTCCGGGTCTGGGACGTGGAATTGCCTGCCGAGGGCCACAAGGCGGCCGCGCAACCCCTGGCTCCTCAGGCTGGTCAAGAGCCCGCCGAGGGGGTGCCACAGCCGCGCAGACGGGAGGCGCTGCCGGCCCAGCTAACACAGCGCAGGCCCCAAGCGCAGGCGCGGTAACAGGACCCTCAGGAGGTGGTAAGAAAAAGGGTAAAGAGGTTATGATTACGCCGGACCAGATCAGTGCGTTCGCGACTAAGAAGACGCCAGCCCTGAAGGTGCACATGACACGTATGAACTTGGTTGTCGCCGGCGGCTGCTTTGAGCCCGATCGCTAGGGCACATCGGATCAAAGCACCGACAAGGTGTACATCGGGCAGGAGGAGTTGACAAAGCAGTCAGGCCGTTTTAAACCTGGGTAGCTTTTGCTCCCCTAATCACCCGTCTCGTATTAAAGACTGGTTTGGGGGACTAGTCCGCTGGATGAAGAAGTAACTGGGAGCAAACAAAATGAAGGAGCTAGGAGTACCGCATTGAGTTATTGGGAGGAAGGAGGCTATCATGAAAGACTTTCCCCTCCTCTTGCAAGCTATTTTGTTTTTCTCCACCACACTCTGATGGTCTCGGGCAATGGCGTCTAGGAGAAAGGTGGTGTCCGCGCAATACAAGATTTCCATCTACTTTGACTATCTTTCCCAACTCTAATGTATGCTCGTGCCATTTATTCCTTGCACGACTCCCCATCTATTTCCCTTAACTTGATGCAAGTATATTATTTGCGAGGGAGCGGGGAAAATAAAAGAGAGCGATTTTCAAGAGAATGGGGCGCTTGTTGGGGCTTTGCTCCGTACATAGATTATGAGGATACCAGACAACCCGAAAGTATGTGTTGCTGTGATTTCCACGCAGATATAGATGTGACACAGCTACGATGACGTGTGGTCGGGGATTGGTAAAGCAGTGGTGTGAGGGCCGACATGGCTTGGTTCTTCCTTAAGCTTATGCCAGCGGCTCTTTACACAAGCCTAAAAGAATCTTTGCATAAAAATAAAAATAAAAGAGAAAATAATATTTTTTTTGTGAAGAATGCGAAATGAGTCTTCGGAACATTGGCCAGGCTCCAGCATTTCCAACGGTTCCCAAGCCATGCGAGAGAGCGAACCTGAGCTCCAAAAACGAGAGAGAATCCCTGATCTTTGGAACCTGGGTGGTGGAGGGGTGACGAATCAGAACAGCAGGCGACAGGTGGGGAGCTCAGTTCCTGGGGTCCCGGTTAGCCAACCTCACGTAACCTCTCTTGACGACCACAGCTACTGCACTCCTCACAACGAACCTTGCTCGCGCAACGAATCCCTTTCTCTCCCAAGGGCGCAGGGAACGAAAGTCTATCAGCATCAATTTTTTATTCCCCGGCGCACTACTCGGCTCTTGTGTCTCCCCAACCTCATTAATACCACCCCTCCCCCCTTTGCCTCTTCTTCTCCATCAATTTGCCTAGGCTTTCCTCGTTCGGCAAATCCCTCTTCCCTCGATCCGAATTCGGTCCTTCTCCCACGCTACGTTAACAGCGAGAAAGAAAGAGGGTAGAAGAAGCGATGGACTTGGAAGAGACCCCATGGGCCGACTCGGCCGAGCCAACCTCGCAGTCGAGCGACCTCCCGACGACACAGGACTCCGCGTCCACCGCCAAGACGAAACCCCCTCCCTGACCCCGGGCAGCAGCGGCTCGACTCGAGCATCCCGCACGACCCCGCGCCGCGTCGTCGCCCAGCCTACCCGCCTCGAGGTCGTCGATGATCCCCTCGGACCACTGGGCGGCGGTAGCGGCGGCAGCGATACGGACAACGTCCTCACCCCCGGCATCTCCGCGAGCAGCGGGCGCGGCGCGCTGGGCGAGGGCGTGCCTCCCGTCCCCCAAAAGGAGCACCAACCCCTCGCCATGCGCACGACGATGCAGCAGCAGAGTCAGCAGGGCCCCCTGTCGGGAGGCGGGCCCGGCGGCGCCCGATCCGGAGGCCCGCGGGATCCGCATCGGATCGACGACGATGACGACGGCGATGACGATTTGCTGGGCCGGAGGTCGGGCGGTGCGAGGGCGCCACCGCCAGTGCAGGCGGCTAACCCGACGGTTCGGTCGAGCAACGCGCCGAGCGTGAGCGTTGAGCAGGCGTCCAAGCCGAGCTTCCAGATCACCGTGGGCGACCCGCATAAGGTGGGGGATCTGACATCCTCGCATATCGTATACTCAGTGCGGACCAGGGTGCGTTGTCTCTCTTTCTCTTTTCTTCTTCTTTTTTTTTTTGGCTTCCTACCCGTCCTTTTCCGACCTTATTCGCTGTCTATCAATACTGGGGAAGACCAACTGCTAATCACTCGAGTTCTCGTCGTGCAAAAATAGACCACATCGAAAGGATACAAGGAGCCCGAGTTCGAGGTCAAACGCCGTTATAGGGACTTCCTGTGGCTGTACAACACTTTACACGGCAACTGCCCTGGCGTGGTTGTCCCCCGCCCCCGATAAGCAGGCTGTGGGCCGCTTCGAGAGCAACTTTGTCGAGAGCCGGCGGCAGGCGCTGGAGAGAATGCTGAACAAGACCGCCACGCACCCGATGCTTCAGCACGACCCCGACCTGAAACTATTCCTCGAGAGTGAAAGCTTCAACGTCGACATCAAACACAAGGAAAGGCGAGACCCTTTGCCGCAGGAGAGCAAGGGCGTCTTCGGCAGCCTGGGCCTTAGCGTTGGCAGCAGCAACAAGTTTGTCGAGCAAGACGAGGTACGTCCCACTGTACTCTTTTATCTTTTCTCTCGCTGGAGCTAGACCTGATCCCAACCCTCAAAATTATCTCTAACCTAATGTTTCTATCATCACCGACAGTGGTTCCACGATCGCAAGGTCTACCTGGACGCCCTTGAAAACCAGCTCAAGGCGCTCCTAAAGTCTATGGAAACCATGGTCGTGCAGCGCAAGGCCATGGCCGAGGCTGCGGGCGATTTCTCCAGTGCTCTGCACGCCCTTTCAACCGTAGAGCTCTCGCACACTCTCTCGGGGCCCCTCGACGCCCTCTCCGAGCTGCAGTTGACCATCCGTGACGTGTACGACCGCCAGGCTCAGCAGGACGTGCTCACCTTTGGCATCGTGCTCGAGGAGTACATCCGTCTCATCGGCTCGGTCAAGCAGGCCTTCACGCAGCGTCAAAAGCCTTTTACGCGTGGCACTCGGCCGAGTCGGACCTCCAGAAGCGACGGGCAGCCCAGGATAAGCTACTCCGGCAGGGCAAGAGCCAGCAGGACAGGCTGACGCAGGTGGGCTCCGAAGTGGCCGAGGCCGAGAGGAAGGTACACCATGCGCGCATGCTATTCGAGGACATGGGCAAGCTCATGAGAGTAGAACTGGACAGGTTCGAGAAGGAAAAGGTGGAGGATTTCAAGAGCGGCGTGGAGACGTTCCTCGAGAGCGCTGTCGAAGCTCAAAAGGAGGTAGGTTTTTTTCTTTTTGTTTTCTACCTTTCTTCTCCTTTTCTCATCGCCTCTTTTCCTCGCGATGGCTGAAGATTGTTGCTAACGTGCGATTTAACGCTGTAGCTCATCGAGAAGTGGGAGACCTTCCTTATGCAGCTAGATGCTGAGGATGACGAGTCTGTCTTCTACCGCCCGCCCGTCATCCAGTCGTCTAATAAGCCGGCGGGGAATACGGCGATTGACCGCGCCAGGGCGAGGATGGACGAAGACTCGGACTAGCGACCCGATTATAGCATCGCTGCTAAGATCACGCGCGTGTATACCTGCTATCCGTAAAGGCGAAACGAGGTTGTTGATGAAAGGCTTGTTGGGGAGAAAGGAGGTTGTGGGACATGCTATAAGGAGGCCCATTTGGGACTGTTATTATCCTTTTTCCCTTTTCTGTGTGTGCCTATCGATGTGCTCTGCATTATATCAAACTTGAAGAGAGTATGGGTGAGGGGTGGGAATGTGGGTGCCTACTGTTCGTTTCCATCCACAGCCCCGTCAGCTTTATTATAGTACGGCGTAGAGAGATGATGAAAACGAGAGTTAAGACAATATGGTTAAACTAAGTCGGCCGCACACCCTCCTCTCCTCCACGGTGTTGGAGGAGCTAGCACTGGCGTGAAGAAGGGGAGAAGTCAGTTAGTCAATATGAAGGAATATGGCTTTATATTGTGCAGATGTTTTGTATTGTTGTACATGGATGTATGTGTATATAACGTTTAGTGTTGATAGTACAGGCCTGGAAGAATGACTCCCTAACTCTATAGCCGTATCTAGACATCTCCCCCACAGCAGAATTCCTGAAGCAAGCGACGCGGACAGCCTGATTCGGTTGGGCGCTTCATGCTTTTGTTCGCCATGTCCAAACCCGGCGTAGTGTGCTTCCCAAGGTTGGGGATCACGGGGAATTTCAAAAGGCTGACGGAGGCGGTAGGCTTCCCTTCATCATCTATAATCGCTTATCCGCCTCGTTGTCAGTCGTGTTCCGAGCTCCCTCATCCCCTACTACTCGCTCGCCGCCTTCCCCTTTTCTTCATGCCCGTTTATTTCTTCTTCGTGGGCCACGTCTTGACCTTTTCCACCTCGGGTTTCAGCTCCGCGCCGTACACGCCAATCAAGTCGCCCAAGTCGTCAATGTCGTACTCCTCTTCCGCGGCGGCGGCAGCAGCCTCTTGCTCAGCCTTCCTGGCGGCGGCAGCCTCCCTCTCCTTCTTCTTGCCCAGGCCCTTTCCGGCTTCGGCCTGGGCTAGCTCGCCCTCGGCATCGGCGGCGCCGGACCGGAGATCGAATCCGCGACCGTACCTCTCTCGGAAGGCGGCGAGCTTGCCGGCCTCGTCGAGCTCGACGTTGCGGAGAGACTTTTCCGAGGGCTGCCATAGCAGGTGGTTGCGGGTGTCCTTGGTCGAGCGATAGAGGGCCTGGGGCGACGTCGTGCGCGCGGTGAAGGTGGACCCGTCCGAGAGCTGGATCAGCTGGGTAAAGGTATAGGGGCGGCGCGGGCGCCTGATGAGGCGGGCGGCGGCCGAGGGGGTGGCGGAGAAGGCGCGACGGGCTGTGGTGGTGATCGCGGTGGAGGAGAGGGCGAGGGGGTCGTGAGGGGGATTGCCCCCTTGGTAGCCTCGGAGGCATGGTGTGTTGGGGATGGGGATACGGCCTCGTCCGAGAGGTGAGAAGTTTGGCGTGATCGAGGCTCTGATGGGCCGGGTGTATTAGTATTCGACTTTCAAAAATCGGGTGTTCGACACAAGAAGGCTACGGTTCAGTGCCGGTTGAAGGAAAGGCGTGTTGAAGGGTCCCCTTTGTTGGGTGGGAGATGGACGTGGTAGAGTCGTACCTTGTCTCTTCTTTTTTCCTTCTCTTTTACAATTGGGGAAAAATTCGCGGGAGCGCGATTGCTGGCAATTGACGAGTGCGGCGAGCGGAAGTTGCCGTGCAGTGACCCTTTCTTATCGATAAGACAAGATGTGAGCTTGGCCAGCAGGACAAGATGGAGACAATCCTGCGCTACAGCAAAAGGGACTGCGAACTCAGATAAATGCTTGTAATTATCCAATGCAATCAAAAGGGAAATGCCCAACCGTTTTTTTGTAGCTTACCCTCCAAGCTATCGTATACTCGCGTGTTGTGCCGAGAGCTCTGATGTCCCTGATTAGTCATCAGCTCTTTCAGGTGCGATGACGATGATAACGATTCATCAAAAAGAAATTCAAGATTCGCGAAGCTGCTACAGCACGTCTGCTCAGAACCCCCTCACACTTTCGTACCGTATAGCAGCAACAGCCCATTTTGCGCTTTCGTGCCATAATGTGTTAATTGTGGTGGCCTTGAGATCTTTTAGTCCCGGGAACAAGCCCCATCTTTTTTTCCAAAATGCGAGGACTACGGCCGCTAAGTTTTCCCACGAGGGCGACGTTCGCGAGGAGCCATGCGGCGGCATCTTGGGCGGTTGCGGCATCCCGTAGCTCAATAAATCTCAACGGAGAGGGTTGGTTAATATCTAACTAGGATATTTTGGAAATCGTCACTCTAATTCTTCTGCCCTCCCTAGCTCCTATAATACCAGCGAGATGTAGTAGCACCTCGGCGACGCTAAGAAAAGAACCACCCTCCTCATCACTCCCTCCACCGCCACCTCCTCCGCCTCCTCCTCTTCTTCTTCGCCCAGCGCCCAGACCGCCGCCTCTGTGACGGCCGACCAGTTTCGCGGCGTCATGAGAGAGCTTCCGCACTCCGTCGTCGTGTGTACATCGATTCCCCACACAAGCTCGCCACAGGGAGCACTTGAGCGGGCCAATTTTCGCGGCATGACCATGTCCTCCTTCACATCGCTCTCGCTCGACCCGATCCCGCTCGTCTCCTTCAACATTAAGCGGCCGAGCCGAACGCTAGACGCGATCCGCGAGAGCGGTACGTTTAACATCCACGTCCTGCGCGCGGACACGCACGGCGTTAAAGTGGCGGAGTGGTTCGCGACAAGCAACATTAGCTTCAACCCGTTTGAAAATATCCAGTCGTCGGGATGCCAAGTGTACCCGGAGGAGACGGGGGCGATACTCTGGGGCGAGGGTGTGAGGACCGTGCTGAGGTGCAAGGTGGAGAAGTTGATGAGCGTGAGAGATCACGAAATCGTTGCCGGTGAAGTGGTGGAGGTCGTGGGTGGCGGAGAGTTTGAGGCGCTGGCGTACGCGCAAAGGCAGTACCGACCGGTGGGACCTCCGATACAGAAGCACCGGACCTCGTAGGGAACCAGAAAGGTTGAAGAGGCTGCTACGGGGGTTGGCATTTGGAGTTTTTTGTTCTCTCCCGTTTCCCCCTTTTTGATGGAAGCGTGCATGACTTGACGGCGGAGTTTTGTATCCTTTTTGTATTTGTAATATTATATAGACACTCTACACTATAGATTGGCAACTGTGAAAGTAATCGAAAACACGGAATCATGTTAGAAGCCGTGAAGGATTGAGAACCTTATCCAACAAAGGCCCCCTTCGTGCCTTCTCATCCTCCTACTTTCGACCTATCTGTTAAGATCGCAAAGATCTGTGTCGCAGATCCTTTCCTCGCGACACGACTACTTGAAGGTCACGGGCGAATCTGGATGGTGGATTCTGATGTTGAAGAATGTGATGGGTGCTGGTAGGCACTAGCTGAAAGCTATCCTAGAGTGGGAATGTCACAAAGGGATCAGGGCTCCGTCCGGAGACCGACTTTAGATCGGTCGGCGATGGTAGTAGGTCTGTCCCTGTTCTTAGACTAGACTTTAACCCATTCTCCTTTGAGTGTCATCGCGGTATTCGACTCCCTCATAGAAAATCCTTGCGAGCTCACTCGCGTTGATTGTGTCGAATACGGGGATTATGGGTTGCCACGTGCTGAGGGTCGTTACCGTCATCATAGCGACTGGGGGTTATTGGGACCTATCTGGATCTGGTCAAGACAACCTGGAATGCCGCCATGGCACCCCAAGGGGATCATGAGTGATAGAGGATCTATCTTCACAAGCCAATTCTGGGCGGAGTTCTGCAAGACCCAGGGTTCGCTGAGGCGGTTATCGACCGCACTTCATCCGCAGACGGAGTGTCAAACAGAGCATGCGAACTCTGTAATACTAGAAATTTTGAGGAAACTATGTGGCGAAGACACCGACCACTAGCCGAAGCTCCGAAGCTTCTCCAAAACGTTGAATTATCGATGAACAACCATATTAACGCGACGACGGTGGTAAGCCCCTGTCAGGCGCTATACAGATGCCACCCTAGGATGGCTGAAGATGCTATCCCAGAAGAACTACTCAAGGTAGTGGGGATAAGGGAAAGAATAGAGAATTTGCGCAAGGTCGGAGAAGAGTCGCAGAGTACTGGGAGTGCGCGAGAAGGGACCAGCAGAAATACTTCAACAAGAGCGGTCAAGCCATACCCCCGACTATAAAGAACCGAGTTCAGGCTCTGGCACGAAAGTTAGCCCCCACCTATATTAAGGTGAAAATCCTAGAAGGAATCAATAAGAACGCCTACCGTGTAGAGCTGCCAAAGAAGTATCGGAGACGGTATGATGTATTCCACCTATCCCTGCTGGAATCATGGAAGGACCAACAACACGTACACTCCCCGGCCAATCTTCTAGACCTGGAAGAGGAAGCGGTGGAGTGGGAGGTCGAAGACATCGTGGCGAACGTGGAACCAAGTTCTTCAACCAAGGAATAATAATGTGCATGCACAGGACCTTTCAAACGGCTCTGTCATGGCTCGAATGGGCCTCTCAATGTCAACATAATGAGATTTCGACTCAGTACGGAATTACCCGGGCTGGCCCTCAATCGGGTATTTAGGGAACAGGCGCAAGGTTCTGAGCTCCATTTCTTCAATCTGGAAATGAAGACATTGCTCGTTGGGCCGATGTTGCTGTGTTGAAGCTGAGCCCAGTTTAGGACTAGAGCTCCGGTTCGTTTGTTTTTACTCTAATTGGTGCACCAAGGGAAGCATAAAAATTGATTCCTCAGGCGCCAAGACTCCGTTGCCCCATGAGAACAACCAAAGTAAACAAATGCAAATTGTACACGACACTTGTACCGTGAAGTCACTTGCAGCTCCTTGCAATACACGCCCCCTTCAAACAAAAAACGCCTTTTCCCAATGCAAATTGAACCCACCACCACCGAACAGAGTTGGCGGATCTCGTACTGACCCTGGACTGTCTGTACGCCGCTAATACATTCTCGTCGATTTCGTCCTTCTCCCCGCTCCCTTTCGATCCCTTCTGTTTTTTCTTCTTCGTCCTTCCCCGTCCTTCTTCGTGATCACAACAACCTCGTCGCGTGGCAGCCAGCCCCGACCCTTTCCCAAGTTGCCTTCCTTGAGGGCATTGAAGTCTGGAGCTTTGCTCCTCGTCGCGCCCATTCTCGTTCCCGTTGCCTTACGTCGTCGCGTTCCAATCTTCGCCGCCATGGATCCCGAGACATCAGTACGTATCGACAAAGAACTCCCGCCTTCCAACCGCCAGCCCTTTGCTCGACTGCGCGTGCTATATGGCAGAACTTGCAAAATACAAGAGACAAATCGAGAGATCTTCTAGGGACTGACTTATGGGGCGATGCCCATCTAGGATCTTCGTACTTCGAGATTGGGGAGCCGACTCCCCGCGCCCAGGGCCATTCCTAAGCCGAGTGGCTCCATCAGTGCCGGGTTGACGGAACTCAGCGACTCCCAACACAATGCGAGGTCTCAAATCGCGATGCCCCCTTCATTTAACAAGGGTATCAAGCGTGATCTTCCCCAGCCAGGTATGCCTCACCTCACCACGTAGACCTCCCGATTAATGGTGATACCTCTCTTGTTTACACCACACTTGGAATTCCCCTTCACCCTCACCGAATAGCGGGGATGCACCTAACGATGATGTTTTTGAACCCTCCAGCCCAAGCCTCCGAAGCGAAAAGGAAACCTCTTTCCCAGCGAGCAGGTGAATATCCGACCAAACCCACAACGGCAGCGCCCTCGCTCCCTCGTCCAAACGTACAAGGCATCTCGCTCGTTGGCACCTGTTCAGGAGTAAGCCAGTGTCCCTTCCCGTTCCATCACCGCTGTTACTAGTCTGCTGCTTTGTAGACGACGGCCCAAGTTACGCGTCCTTGTGCACATTCGCGATGGCCAAACTCGGAGTTTCAAGGTGCTGTCTACTAACAGAGTCGTAGATCAAACAACCCAGCCGCTATGGCTCGAATCGCCCCCATCCGCACATAACCGACAAAACTCGGCGACGAATTTTGCTACAAGCTTCGGTCCCGACAGCCGAGCTCCCCCTACTCCCGGCCCAAGACCTCGCACTCCAACCACAGCCGGTCCGTAAGCGCTAAACCGAGAGGTCCTGATGCGAGGCCGCAGACCGCCTTCGGACACGGAGGCCCCGAGGAGGAAGACGGCCAATCAGATAACGGTATGCCACCGCCACCACTTCCCAGAACCGCCTAGAGAACGGGGTCTGGCAGGGAATCAACGGACGGCCACCAAGTGAAGACCGTTCAATCCGTTCCCAACCTCTCTCTTCTCCGCAAGACATCGCTGAGCACGGCTTCCAAAAGTGGGACGCCGCAGCCTGTTGATGACCTCTCTTTATTCCACAATCAGGATCAAGTGAATTCTGGATCGAGGTGGGCGGCTAGGACCCCCACGCTTACTTCCATTCCCGCTCCCATTTCCACTCCACCGCTCGACATGTCCAAGGTGACTATTAAGCGTGCTGGGAGATCCCCGCCTAAAACCCCAACGCGAGCTCCTCGCAGAGCTTCCCAGCTCCTCCGCGATGGGACACCATGTCCCCCATCTCAGGCGCGTGTCATGATGGGCGCGTACGAGGAGTGTCACGAAAAGCTCAAATCGGAACTGCAACGGACTCTATCCCCCATCAAGCCACCGTCCCCCTTCTTAACCAAGTATTCTAACCTGAGGAACTATGCAGCATGGGATGTCGACGGACGCCTCGGAAATATTGAACAGCAGTTCGATCAGTTGAAGTCAATCATAGGTGATGCCACCTCTGATCGGGAGGCGCTGGGTTCCGCGGTTGAAATGTACAAATCAAGAGGTAAAGAAAACTTTCACTTTGCCCTATAGACTTCTCCTTGCTCCCTCCACAATCATAGGTCTAACAAACATGATGCAGTGTCGGAGCTTCAAAATGAGCGTGCCGATTTACTACGCAGGATGGGAGAGCTCAACTCGGACACGAATCGATATCGAGATGAGGTATCGGAGCTGCGGAGGAACTTGGATGAAGTCGAGTGGAGGAATAAGAACGAGATCGAAGCCCTGCAGCGCGCCAACGACCACGCGAGAGACGATTTCCAGCGATCCATCGACGCCGAGGTGGAAAGGCTCAACAAGTCCCATCAAGAGGAGCTCGAGGCGATCAAGAGGCACTACGCAGCGGAGCTTGAAGACGAGCGTCGTGACAAGGGCCGGCAGGTGGACGAAATGAGGCGCCAAATAAGTAATCAACAGCAGGATATGCACGGCGATCTCCAGAAGAAAAATACGGAAATATCAGACCTACGCAGCCAGATGGAGAGCCTCAAGGGCGACCTCGACCGCGAGGCGACGCTCAAGAGCACGCTGCAGCTGAGTCTGGCGGAAATGTCAGCGGCCAACGTAACGATGGAGGCCAAGATGAATTCTCTCCGGTCACAGATTGAGTTCCTGGAGTCCGACAGCAAGGCACAATCCGACTCGTTTGCCGACATGGAGGCGCGTCTCCAAGAGGCGCACCGCATCGCGGACGAGGCGAAGCAAAAGCTCATCAAGGAAGAGACGGAACGTCGAGTACTCTTCAACAAATACCAGGAGCTCAAGGGTAACATTCGGGTTATGTGCCGAGTGCGGCCAGTGCTCGACACGACCGAAGGAAGCGAGGCCTTGATCCAGTTCCCAGACGAGAAGACATCAGCCAAAATCGGGGTCCTCGGACCTGAGGAAAAGAGCAGCCTTGGCAACGTGGTGCGCAAGGAGTACCCCTTTGAGTTTGATCGCGTCTTCACACCGTCGATTAGGAATGAAGAGGTGTTTGGCGAGATCTCGCAGCTAGTGCAGAGCGCGTTAGACGGCTACAACGTGTGCATCTTTTGCTACGGCCAGACGGGGTCGGGCAAGACGTTTACCATGTCTTCGACGGACGGCATGATACCCCGAGCGACGCACATGATTTACGAGACGATCAAGCAACTCGAGGAGAAGTCGTGGACGTACACAATGGAGGGCTCCTTCATCGAGGTGTACAACGAGGAGCTCCACGACCTGCTCACGCCCAACGGGCGCGAGGCGCCCAAAAGCTCGACATTCGACACGACGACGTGCGCAAGCGAACAATGGTGATCAACTGCAAGACGGTGCAGCTCGACTCACCCGGCAAGGTTGAATCGATGCTAGCGGAGGCGCAGAACAACCGCACGGTAGCGGCGACCAAGGCCAACGAGCGATCCTCGCGGTCGCACAGCGTCTTCATCCTCCGGCTAGTGGGCGAAAACTCGGCCACGGGCGAGCGGTGCGAGGGCACGCTCAACCTCGTGGACCTGGCGGGCTCGGAGCGGCTCAAGCACTCGCAGGTGGAGGGCGACCGCATGCGCGAGACGCAAAACATCAACAAGTCGCTGTCGTGCCTGGGCGACGTCATCGACGCCCTCGGCCGCGGCTCGGCCCACGTGCCCTATCGCAACTCGAAGCTCACCCACCTACTGCAGTACTCGCTCGGCGGCAACTCCAAGACGCTGATGTTTGTCATGGTGAGCCCGTTGGAGGCGCATCTCAAGGAGACGTTGACGAGTCTGCGGTTCGCTGCAAAAGTGAGTTTTCTTTTCTTTTTTTTTTTCTGCGTTCATTTTAGCGCCTCTACCTAGCGTCTATTTCCTCATGCGGTAACACTTGATTGCTAACGTTTTTCTCCATGTAGGTTCACAATACGCATATTGGCACTGCCAAGGCCACGAAGAAAATTCGAGACTCGTAGAGAGAGTGTGTGTATGTGTGTGGGTGCAGCGGCTCGCGTTGGTAGTGTGATGCCGAGTGAAGCAGAGGAGCGGCGGTGGCGTCTGTGTTGGCTTTTGTAGGTTTGCGGCTTGCGGGGATGGGGAATGCGAGCTGGCGCATGGCAAACTGGGATGAATTACGAACATAAAGATATCATTTCTTAGCTTTGTTTGGGGCGCTGTCCTGTTGTTTCGTTGTCTTCTTCTACCCCCTTGCGGCCTATCTTGCCGTGTTCGCCTTGTCCTCTACTCCCTCTAGATCGTCACTCGGGTTTGCCTTGAGAGGCGAGAGATGGGGGAGCACGGGAGGGAGGGCCTCGGCTCTTTGGAGGCTAGCAGGGCGGGAGAAAGGCGATGGGGATGGAGAAGAGGGAGGTTGTGGTTCATCATTTTCTCTTCTTGACGCGGTCATCGCCCTACCTAACCTCGTCGTGTATAGGTTGGCTTGTTTTGATTCTTTTTTACTTCATTTCGCTCTAGCGGAGTTTTCGGGTTGGGCTGGTGCCCGCGCGGCGGGTCTCTTATCTTGGAGGCCGGGGCGATTCGGGCATCAAAATAATGAATTGACATCTCTTGCGTTTACACCTATTACCTAGTCCTGTTTCTTTCTCTCATTTTTTCTTTCCCCTTTAAAGGAGTCCATTCCCCGTAGCTCGCTCGCCCTATACGCCAAAAAGTGTTGTGCTTTCCAGACTTACCGACTAGGAATTCCATCCCCTGACGTTATGATAGGAAGATGAAAAAGAGCGACACCCCCATCAACATCTCGAGGTTTACACACAGAGATCGGGCGAGAGTGTCGTTACGGGACCTTGTGAGGATGGTACGTGACACACTTTCAAGTTGTGCTCATGTGTGCAGGGTGGGCGCGGTGAGAAGGAATTATGGGCATGCGTTTTAACGCAAGGGCGAAAAGCCCAGAGAGAGAGGGGGAGAGCCACAAGCTGTTATCTCGGGGACGAGGTGAGGTGGTGGGTAATATAAAACATTATTTGATATGACATCTTTGCCGGGTCATATACGACTGGCAAGGAAGAGTCTATGGATATGGATATAAAGTATAAGCGATGGCGCAACAGTCATGACTGGTAGCGCCGGATATCTCCCTAAACCGCCCAACGGACAACCAAAAATGGGCAAAGAAAGTCCTAGTTCAAAAGCGCCCCCTTTCACTCCTTCGTCCCTTTGCTCATGAAAGAACGGCCCTCGTCCCCCTGTATATCTTGAAATTTAGATTTTTCATAACATCATCATCGTCATCATGTCCTCTAGCCGTTCCCGTGTCGCCTCGGCTTCGATGCCCATGCCAACATCCTCCCTCACCCGGAGGACGTCACGCATGAGCCCGATCGCCCACTGCCTCATCTCCTGCACCGCGGGATCACCGCCTCGTTTTCGAACCCCGCCGGTGGCGGCCACCACCGCCTCAGCCGCGGCATCGGTGGCATCGGCGCGGGCCCAGAAGCTAAGAGCGAGGTTTTCCTTGGCGCCGAGACAGGCCTCGTGCGACTCGCCCAGGTGTTCCTCCATAGCGGGCAGGGCGGTACGATACAGAGAGTCCGCGGCGTCATAGTTCAGTAGGGTCTGGCGCAGGGCAGCGAGGTGAGCCTGCGCCAGGAGGACGGATGGGTGCTTAGGCCCGAGGGAGGCCGTCTTGGCGGTAAGGGTGCGCTCGAGCACGGGAACGGCGTCGAGCATGTGTAGCGTGTCTTGAAGGGCGTGGGCGTGCTCCTCGAGTGTGTCAAGCACGGTGGGGTGCGCCGGCCCTAGGTGCGACGCGTACAGCGGGTGCAGCCGGGCGTAGGCCGCCGAGGCGTCGTCAAGCCGGCCGGCCATGCGGAGAATTACGGCGAGACTGTGGAGGGCCAGGATATGGCGGGGGCGGGAGAGCTGGGCAAATATGTTGCCCCCGCCGCTGATACTATGGCTGTGGTTGTGGTTGTTACCACTGCCGCTGATGCGGCTGCTTCGGTGGCTGTTTCTGAAGCTGGTCCGGTTATGGTGGCTGCTGGTGTGTGCTGTAGTGCGCGTGGCGGTGCGGGCAAGCCCGTTGCTGCTGTGTAGCGTGGTGGATACGATACCATAATCTTCGTCGTAGGATGGGGTGTAGAGGCGCGCGAGGTCCTCGAGCTCAAACGCGGCGTGGTCGAGGATGGACTTTTCGGCAAAGAGGGTGGCACGGGCTAGACGCGCGCGAAAGTAGAGGTCAGGGACGTTGTAACGCATGTCGTCGGTGATGACGGCGGAGCGGAGGAGTTCGCCATAGCGGGAGAAATCGCCGTGGTGTCGGTACAACTGAGCGAGAGAAAGAACGGTCTCAAGCTCGCGGACGGGGTCTAGGCGCTCATCCTCGGGCCGAGCAGCGCCGCGGTGTAACGTGAACTCGAGCCACTTGATGGCGAGGGTCGAGTCGCCCTGGGTGGCGGCGAGCTGGCCAAAGAGGTACCAGTCTACGCGCTTAGGATCGCGCTTATCAGGCACAAAGTTGGCATCGGAGAGTTGGAGGGCTAGCGGGTAGAGAGCCCGCGCATGCGGGAGGAGGGGCCGCGAGAGAGCGTGCAGCTCGGGGAGGGTGGGGGAGTCGAAGAGGGTTTGGCGGTGGATGGCGGAGGAGAGGGCGACCAGTGCGAGCCAGGCGTGTCGCGGGGTCGGGGTCTGCAAAAGTGAGCCCGGATCGTTGGCGGGAGGAGATATCCGACGTCTGCGCAAGAGGTCTGCGTTATTAGGTCAAGCGTCTTGAGCGTCTCGGTGAGACGTGGTTGGCGAGTAAGCGCAGTAGCTGTGGTCATATCAGCATTAGCGTGTACACCAAGGAAAGAAACACACAAGGAGGAGGAAAGGTCAAAAAAGTTTCACGCACCTGGCCCGCCAACCCACCAAGCACCGCCAGCATCCGACGAGAGTCTGGCGCCCACGGCGTTTTCTACAGAGATGAGGAGATCGAGGGGAATGGGTGTGTCAGATAGAAGACAAGCGACGCCAAGGACATCGGCCATCTGGTCACGCCGGGGTGCTCCTCGAGGCTAGCCAGGGCAAGAGTAGCGAGAGCGTCGGTACTGTAATAGTTGTGGAATGAGGCACCCCGCTCCCGTATATACGCCGCCGTATGGCAAATGAGAGAAGGCCGGTAGTCGAGGCTGTGCACAATGTCGAATCCCGCTTGTTCTATTTCTCGCGAGAGGGTTAGTCTACCTCAAAGAATGTTTGTGAAACGAGATTCAAGAATTGTACCAATCACCGCCATAGCGAGATCAACTTGATATGTAAGATGCGAGGTTTAAGGGGAGGAAGTAGAGCCAGTAAAGATGGGACGAGAGAAAAGAAAAAAGAGAAATGTGAACGTACCCTCACTCGGATGATGCTCCCGCCCAGTCTCCGCAAGCAATAGCTCGTACGCCTCATCCTCCGTCCAAGCGGGCACCTCAAGCCTTCCCATGCCCAGAATGCCAATTTCGAAATCCCGTTTTTGCGGCACGAGCAAGATCCAGCCATTGAGAGTCAGAGGTAGAAACTCGACGAGGTCGCTGACGTCGCCGACATTGTCGAGCACAAGTAGCCAGCGGTCGTTTCCCTCGCGCAGGAGCCAGTTGATAACAGCCTTGATAGACGCGGCGACGGCGACTTGGTCGAGCTGGAGAAAGGCGCGGCCGTCGAGCAGACTGTCGAGGTCGGCGAGGCCGAGGGCTGCACGCAGGCGCACGCGGGCACCCGCGGGGTCGTCACCGAGTGCCATCAAGGTGTCGGCGTGCTTAGCCCAGTGGTAGTCGAGCACGGCGCGGCCGAGCTCGAGGTAGCTGATGCTCAGGGTCTCGCGGCTGGACCCGTTCAGCCAGAAGACGGGGCGGTCGCCGGCCTTACTAGTCAAACGAGCAAAGTGCTGCGCTATGAAGCCCCTGCCTACGTCCTCGTAGCCGACTAGCGCGACGCACGCGACACGGGAACTACGCGAGAGTTGTTCAAACCGCGCCCCGAGCTCCTCCAGGAGGCCGTGTCGCACATGGTAGGGTGGCGGGGAAGGGTACTCGGGGCGGATATCGAAGTCGAAACGGAGAAACGGTACCTCGTCGTAGGCCTGGAGCGGATCGGCCAGCGTCTGGAGGCTGCTTGTCGCCGAAGATGTGCCAGCGGCAGCTGCGCCGTCGGAGTTAGAGGCCCCCGATGCGCGGCCCGGAGCCAACCAAGACGGCGGGGAAACGGCGCCGGCCAGCATAAGATTGAGCCACTCCCTAAGGGCAAGATACCCATCGTCCTCGTGGCTATCAAATCTCATCAGGTCGACATGAGAGCGCTGTAACAGAATCCTTTCCGCCGCGGACGTTGTCGAGCCGATACCGACAACCTAAAATTCCACGCGTGAGCACCGAAAATGACCATCAACCAACCAGAAAACAGGACGAGAGAATGGATGACTCCCTCTCCCACTCGTATGAGGGGGCGCCCGAGTAAAGGAACAGCACTCACCATTTGGCCTTTGAGGCCAGGCGTGGGGAGGGCCTCGCAAAAACACACCGACATAGCGTGCAGCCGGTCGGCGATCTCGTCGAACGACTTGAGCCCTGCCTCCAGCGACGCGGCATCAACCGCCCAGCCCTTGCCGTCCCTTCCATCCCTGCCGTCCTTGCCGTCCCTAGCGCGAGTCCGCCTTGCTGCAGCGGCAGGCCCCGCCGAGCTCGTCCGGGTGTGCAACAAGTGTGAGACATCACCGAGAACCCTTTTCAGTTGGTCGCGAGCGGGCACACCAAAGTAGACCATACCTCGGGTTGCAAGGTAGACACGGTGGGTGGCGGGGTCCTGGCTCTCCTTTGCCATGACAAGGGCCCGCTGGACGATAAGACCGCCGAGGCTGTGAGAGAGGAAGACAAGTGGTGGGGTGCCGTTTGCGGGGTCGCGAGCGCCGCCGGCGCTGTACATTTGCTTCAAGGCGCCGAGCAAGCTCTGAGCCCGCTCGTAGAGGGCTTCTCGCACGGCGAGGTTCGGGGTTAGTAGGTCCGGACTGTGTTCAAACGTCATGATCCTGGCCGTCGGAATATCGTGGTGGAGCAGACTCGTGAGCCAGCAAAGGCCATCCTCAGTCGACTCCCATCCCTCGAAACCGTTGCCGAGCCCGTGGACAGCAACGATGCTGCAAAAGGTGTATGCATGTGTTAGCGATGGGTACAATGCGTTGCCGCTGCATATAGCCTTGATTCAACTTCTCTCGCTCTCCCTTGTTTGGTGTAGCCTGCGACAGCCTCATGTCAACGACCAGGGGTGATGGTTATGCAACTGCAAGGCAAGGGGAAAAGAAAGATGTGCCCCATTTCGGCAGGAGTCCCCCGTTTTAAGCAGGCTTTGCGGGTGGAACGCAAAACTCTTGAAGATCGCGAGAAGAAGTGAAAGACAAGGATTATAGGTGTATATAAGTTCCATATAAATGAAAGTGCGAGAACCATCAAAAGATGGATAATAAATGAGAAACAAGGACAAATGAGTAATGCCCGTATAAACAGGGAGAGAGAAAAGGCTGAGAAAAAGGAAGGGATAACGAAATGTTTGGCTAATGGCACGTACTCTACCGTTGGTGACACTCCGAGGGCCGAATCATGCAGTACCTTCAATTCGGCCGCCGCCCGAGTGGGAAATGTGTAGCTCACAGCGTCCAGCCGAGAAAAGAATAAGGACGAGGGGCTTCTTAGATATCTGGCTCGGTCGTCATCGCCCTCGTCATGGTAGTCGCGCGGCTCCGGCGACAGCGCCCTCTTGAGAAGCCGGGAGCCATGGCTACTGAGGCGACGGAGGGACAGCGTTCTCATGGCATCTGCATGTGTGGGCAGGCGTTCCGTTGGGGGTGGTGGATGCTATCTTGCCTCTTCCTCCCTTTCACGTGTCTCACACTGTCCGTGCCAGCAGCGCAAAATACGCCTCACGTTTCTTGGTGAAAAACAAAAGAGGGGAGCGGGAAAGAAAAGCCAGCGCAACTTGATGGGAATGGGGGAGGAAAGAAGTGAAGTAGTGAACGGTGGACTGGTTCCTCTCCCCAACGCAGCCTTGAAGAAAGAGGGAGAAAGTGAGAGAGAGAAACAGATAGGTGCACAATCCGATACCAGAAGCACCAATCGAGCAAGTAAGCTTGGGTGGGGAGGGTTCTCAAGACAGGCGCTAGGTTAACAAAAGGAAAAACAAAGTGGTATAAAGCAAGAAGCAGGGAAACTAGAAAATATGCAGAGGCTCGATCTTTGGCGGAGACGAGAAGAGGAAGACGATCTCTAAGCTTGAGAGAGAGGAACGGAGGGGCTCAGGTAAGATAAGACGATGGGGGAGGGAGAAAGATCTAATTGATACCACCCACAGCAATAGGAAAAGGGCGTTTCAACGTTTGGCTATGACACTCAGTTAAGACGGCGAAGCTCTAATCAAGAAAAGGGAGAAGGGCGACGGCAGAAGAGAGAAAAGCGAAGAGAGGGAAGAAAGGGGGGTTCAGTTGTGCCTCGTCTGAACGTCAGGTTGCTCTTAGCTTCTTCAGTTCACTCTCAAGGGGAAACGGCGTCCTCGACGGCGTGGGGCGGCGTCAAGGTCAAGGTGGTGGTTGGAGATGAGAGCTCGAGCTATTACAATACTTGCAGGCGTGTCTCATTTCATCGTTTCTTTTGTTTCCTTTGCTTTCTTTCTTTCTTTCTTCCTGTGTTCTAGAGGTTAGTTCACATTACTTTTTCCCTTTTCTTTCCTCTGTGCCCGCTAATCATGCCCTCCTCTCGAATCTGGCCCAAAAAGACAAACATCACACAAAGAAGTCTGTTGCTTTGTGAATCCAAATAGGTTTAAGCTGGCGCCACTATTCCCACCGCAACCGATACCCGGCCCTGTTTAGCATGGCAGGGGAGAAGAAGCGAGGGTCGTCGCATGGCCCATGTGTTTTCTTTCTTTCCGCTTGTTTTTCTTTTTTTCTTTTTCAATTTCCAAGTACCTTCCTGGTCCTCAGTTTATTAATGATGGATGTTAGTGTACAAGCATTCATCCATGGATATTTTAGTGCAAGGGAGAAGTCGACCGGGGAACCACCAAATCTAACCTACGCTACTTTGGGTCGTTAACGATCAGACACCTTCCTTCATTTGGCAACAGCTCTTCCTCCACATTTCCTCTTCCCAGGGATGCTGACGATGAACTAGAGTAGTGTTGAGTACTTGGTGTTCAAGGAGTATTTTTAATAATTGTCTGAGCTCTCACACTGGTGGCACGGTACCGTTGTTCATGAGCGCTTCGCTAAGGGGACGACACCCAATCTTCACCCATGGTTGCAGCAGGTGAGTGTTAAGAACCGAACCAGGGGGAAGGGTTACATGGAGCTGTTCATATTCAGTAGAGAGAGGGAAACCAGGTTGACCTCCAACCAAAGAGTCAGAAAAAAATAGGAGAAAAGAGGCACAAATCTTTTTTAATTTATAAAAGAAAAAGAAAAAAAAAAAAAAAAAGAGAGATAGAGAATGAAGGCAAAGGAGGGACAGGGACAACCATCGGCCGTCGCCAGGGCAAAATGTGTGGTGTCGAAGCTAAGAAATGCACAATGTGCGTGGCCATGCTTGAGTGGGTTGACCTTGACCGATGCAAGATTCTGGCGTTCAACTTTGGCCCTTTCACTGACGGCGCGGATACGAACTAACTTTTTCCCCCTCCCGCTCTCTTGCTCACTCGTTCTCCCAACTCTACCTCACCTCCCTCCACGGCTCCTTCCCTGATTTTCCTCTCACCTAAAATGGAATTCTCGGCAGGAGCCTCGGGAAGCATCGAGCGCTTTGCTTTTCCCTCCCACCTTTCCTTCTTCTTTCCTTGTTGGAAGAAGAAAAGTAAAAGGAAAGGAAACACAAGCCGGGCCCCTTCCCTTTCTTTCGCCCACTCAGCTTCTCGCCCAGCTCACCCACCTCATGGAAGAATCTACTTTCGGGCTGTGGGTATCGAACGGTGAGTGGGGATCTTGGGATGATGAGATGATCTTGGGGAGACGAGCTGGGAGCTGGAAACGCTCTCACCTGGCGTCTGGCCTGGGCTAGTCCCGATCCTCCCTGTGCAGGCCCCCAATGCGGGTTGGCTCGCATCCTTCATGGGGAAAGGCCCAACGAAAACGTGTAAATGAGGGCCCGGCGCTTGTAAGCGTCAGCCATTGAATGCAGGAAATGGGGGTTTCCATCATTCTCTCCCTCCCCAGAGATTAGATCAAGCTGCCTTTGCTCATCACTTGATTACACGTGCAAGTAGTTTCTTTTCGTGCAGTCCATCCCCGCGAGTCACAATGATAGGGTCCCAGAGACGCTAGTTTCCAACCACAGATGCAGATTGATGTCTTTTTGATCATGCTAAGATGGATGTCTGTGAGTGAGCGTGCGCGCCCCTGTTCTGTCCAGTGTTTCCCGGCACCAGACCCCAAGTACAAAGTACAGTCTGTACGGGGTGTCTGTGTGCCAATGTGTATGCTGTAAATCCTTGACCCTCCATCGCCTTCCTGCAACCCTCCCGAGCCGAAAATGTAACTCTAGAAAGGGGTCCTCGACAATGAGCGAAATTTGGCTCTTTTGCTGTGTTCTCTCCCCAGACCGGCCGCGCTCTTCGGCCGCATACAAGCAAGCACTCTCCAGTGTTCGGATAATAATAATGAGGATAATACAACGTTGAGTTCGTCCCCGTGATAACCGACCCAGATATGCCGCCCCCTTTCCCGCCTCACCTCAAGCCCCTTGCCAGCCGTCCATCAATCCGCCAAATGATAACTTCAGGGTCTTTTTTGTGACCTAGCCCTGGTCAGGTTCCAACCCTTCAGGTTGTAGGATTGAAACAAACACGATGATATCTTCCTGCAGAAGAAACGGAGGGCGGCAGGCAGAGATCAATTAGAAAATATCGACTCCAATCTTGCTACCCCAAGAAATGCTACTTGTATTACTTCTCTCATTGTTTCCTTTGGTAGCAGAAGCGAAGAAGGGTCCAGAAATCGCGCTCAGACATGTGCAACCCATGCCCCCGTTTGAGAGCAAGAGTATTGGTGGAGAGCAGTGTTCAAGGAGAAGGTGGTTGAAACGTCCAGTCAGCGCATACACTACCACTACCCTCCACCACAGACCGTTTCCATATATCCCCAGTGCTCCATCACAAAACTCGGTATTACGCCTCATCGCTCAATGGGTTGAGCTATGGCCTTGGCACGCCTTGCAAGTATTGCCATTGCCCCCCTCAAGTCCATGATGCATCTCAGGTGCGTCTAGGTCTGATACGAGGTGTAGAAGGGAGCTGAGACCAGCGGGCGTGCTTTCCTTTCCGCCCTGAGGGCCCATCGCCAAACTCAGCTCAGCCCCCTCCTCTTCAAGAAAAGAAGAGAAAAACGCAGCCGACAAGCACGTTGGCGGGTCGTTTGGTGTACCCTCGGCCCCCTAAATATTCGCATTGTTGGTGCTTGACACCTTGGATATCTGGCGGCGCCTGCAGTAGTCGCCTCCACATGGTGGGCGCTGAGGCGCCGCCCTCCCCACTCATTCTCCATGAAATACTTTGGCGAGGACCAAGCAAGACGCAAGCGGTGACGCTGTCTAGTCCGCCGCTGTGGGCGGGCGTCGGCTTTTTCCGCCATTCGTTAACGAAAAAGCCTCCCAGGTGCGCCAACTCCGCCGGCGCTGATCCCTCTCAAAATCTAAAGCCACTGATGGGCTCCCGCTGCTCTGGGCCGGAAACCTTTCTCCCTCCTGGTTGGTAGATCTCACGGCCCTTCCTGGTTTGCACTCCTGACCCGGCCTGGCTGGCCTGGCCTAGTCGAGAAGTCAGGTCCCTCAGCTCGGAGCATGGACGACCATTTTGAACTCAGCAGGCGCGTCACAAAGATATGCGCTGGCATTCCAATCATGCGAGACAACACGTAGATAGGATCATCTTGCTCCAACTAAAACCCTTGTAGAGCTGCGTTTCCCTCAACCCCCGCCGTCACATCTGGAACCCTGGGGAGCCTTTCTCCGAATAGCGGCAGGTGCCCGCCCGTCGCATCGGAGCCGGTATCCTCCCGTCGAGTTCATCCGAAGGAGGGATGCGGAAGAATTGCTGTCTCCCGACGGCCCGCTCTCAGCGAGTGTCGCCTGCGTTCCAAGTGATCTGCAAGAGCCCGACAAAGAACCCGTCCCGTGTATTACTACATGTAGTCTCGACCACGTCTTCCCCTGCTTGTCGATCTTATTACCAGAGCCGCCTTTATACACTCAATGACCGAGGTGCCACCTTCACACAACATATCACTCTTTCCGCTCCCAACGTCGTTGTCAGTTCATGCACGGCCGCTATAATGGAAATCCAGATGTAGTTTTTGATCTCAGCTTAATCAGTCGCCGTCAACGGAACAATCTTTCTTTTCTTTTTTTCTTTTTTCTTTTTATTAACGAAAGTTCTCCCCCTTTCTTTTTTCCCTTTTTCTTTTTTTCTTTGTCTTGGCCCAGCCCTGATCACGCCTACGAATAAAAGCAGGACATGGTGTATCCCTTACAGTCCGTTGTTAAATCCAAGTGTATCGGGAGTAATACAGCGTGCCCTAGTGGTGTTGCACCATAGTGTCATTACTTCATGTTGTAGCAGCAACTTCCAACTTCGTGAGGAATCGAATGAGACGCTCCGCTCTAAAAAGGAGAAAAAAAGAAGAAAACAGAAAAGGACGCAGCGCTCGCAGTTTATAGGTATATGGAGGCATCTAACCGTTCGCTTCATATCAACCTTATTCTTCAATGAGAAAGCCCAAACGCCGTGCATTGTCGGGACTGATTAGCCCATATCCAGATGTGAAAGTAGCCCATTCCCGCAAATTAGAAGAAGGATGAACCCCCAAGACAAGGACGGAAAAAGAGGATGTGTTGTAGGAAATGCGATGAAGCCCGGAAAGCGGGTCCTCCGTCAAACATCCTATACCAAAACATCCAAACCGAGACTACCTCCAACGCTCATAGGCCTAGACGCCGCCAGGCCAACACTTGGAAGTGGCTCTCCGTTGCCCTGCTTCCTTGCAAGCCAACGGAATCGAGGCGAGAGCTTCTGACAGTACCCCTAGGCTGTTGATGTTGGGAGTTGAGACGTATTTGTTCTCCTTGGGAGATATGGCACGGTGTCCCAAAGTCTAGACAGCTTCCCAGTCCATGGCATCCACTATGAAGCTCCAATCAACTGGTTCCACCTTCTTATCACCAACTTCGCTAGCCAACCGCTCCTTGGCAATCTCGTACGCCTCCTGGAACGCATCGAGGATTGTTTGCAGGATCTTGTCGACCTCGTACTCTTCTAGGGCCATCTCCCCGATGCCCTTGCCTGCGGTGTCGTCCAGGTACTTCCACCTATTCCTCATCTCCTTCGCCTTGGCCAGACAGCGCCTAGCTTCTCCCTTGCCCAGCACTCGGTGCAGCTCGTTCTCCGGCACGTCTAAGGCGGCCAGCACGTTATGGTGGTAGGAGTGGGCCCCGTCCCTCAGCATCGGCCCAGAACCGTTGCCAGAGATCGGGTCCCGCGTCACGACGATGTCAAAGACGCCCAGCAGGTGCACCAGAGCCCGCTCAAGCAGCATGTAAAACTCGTAGAAGTCCAGCTTAAACATGGTTTCGCACTCTGCTCGCTGGTCCGGGCTGAGATGCACGTCGCTGGCCCGGCTGAACCCGTTAGACAGGTGCAGCAACTTCCAGTTGAGGCGTCTGGCAATCTTCTCGAAGCGCTGTATCTCGTAGCTGTGGTGGGTTGCTGACGGTGCGTCGCGCGGGGACGCTCGGGGGTCCCAGGAACCATGGGGTTGAGGGCAGGAGTAAATCTGCCTGGATAAAGAGTGGCGGTGGATGCCGAGCTCCGGGCAGTTGCCGCGCTCGACGTTGTTCGGATGGAGCTTGATGACGCCCATCGCGAGCTGCTTAGGCCCTTGGCCGGGCGTAAGGGGTTGGGCTCCCCATTCTGGGCCATTACTCAGGACAAAAAGAGATAAAGCAAGGGCTGAAAGAGCGGATAGACCAAAGGGGTGGACGGGGCTGTCGAGCAAGATGTACCGCTTCCCAAAAATTATAAGTATGACGAGGGGACCCGTGATCGGATCGGTATTAGTGGCATCGATCTTTGGTGAAAGAGGTGGATAAGAAGGCAAGGCTGTGATGCGAAGGAGAGGACTGATGCCAGCATGAAAAATGAACTGTATGGGTATGCGATCTATCGATAAAACAAGAATTCTAGTGATGAATAGGTCCTTGAGAGAGGTGGAAACGATGCTTGACGCCGTCAAAAGCACATCTCGTTCACTTTCAAGCTAGACGTCAAGAGCTGCCATGGAAATAGGCCTTCCGCGGGAGTTGAGTGGGTTTGGGTGAATTAGGTAATCCGCAAGGTGAACCAACATCATCTCCTCTCTAGTTGCGGTCAAGGTAGCCAGTGCCTTCCCCGTCAGAGAATTTAGTGACGCGTGTTTCTTTGCAGCTCTGTCGGGGGAAAGTGCTTCATGGAAAAGACGTTCGCTCTTGCTTGTGAAATCTAGGAGGGTCCCGGATGCTGAAAAGAGAAGGCGTAGCCTGCGACCCTGTACAGCTGCGCTTATAGCAGATAGTTCAAGGAAGTGCCAATGTTTTCCAGTCCAAGACTAGGACCAATTAAATAAAATATATGATGGATATATATACATGTAGATATTTTCCTGAGCCAGTGCCACCATCCCCAATTGTGTCCAACGCCGTGGTATATCGTGTTTGTTTCAGTCATGAATAAAACAATAGTCGCTGCTAGCACCTTGTCTAGCTGGACCATGGACCGCTTATTAATGCAAGTATAGAGAATGGAATGGTCATCATCGAACTTCGGAGCTCATGGGCTCGTGTGGTCGTGGGGTCATAAAAAGAAGGGGAGAAGGCTGTCTCCGGGGAAAAAAGCAACGGCAAGGGAGGAAGGCGGGATTAGAGGGGAGGTCCCTCTTTCTCAGCAGCCTCCTCCTCCATCGTAGGCCCAACAGCCCGACCACCATCCACAATCACTTGTTCATCGACACGTTTTGCCAACTCTTCAGGTTCTCCAAACTCGACTCTTTTCCACGTCGTGATGCGTGAAAGGTTGGCATCTACCTCAAAGACTCGGAGTCTCCGGTTGAATCCACCATAACCGGCATATCCTCCAAACCCGGACCCACCGGCATAACACATCCAGAGCGCGGGCTTCTTTGCGTCATCCTCGCCTTCCGACGAAAGCATGCAATAATCGTTGACGTGGTCGCTATAGGATCGTTAGGCACGACTTCTCTCAACGCAGATAGGCTAGGGAAAAAAGAGGCGGAAGCTCAAAGGCGGTTACTTACTGTCCACAGCTGACCATGACGATGCCCTGCTCGATGAGTGCATCTCGGAAACCAGAGTTGTACTGCGGGGCCGTGACGTACTCCCTCCAAGCGCCCTTCCAATAATTCCTGACGCCAATGTATTCAGGAAGGGGGATGTGGATAAAGGCTAGATCCATATGGATGTGTGTATACTCTTTATGTGCGGGCTTGAGGCTCGTCGCCGTTCGCTTGAACCAATCAACTTGGTTCGGCTTGATCCAATCGTAGCCTGGGTACTTCTTCTCATTCGACGAGTAGGCATGTGTATCAAGCATGTAGAGGGTTAGGGCAGAGTGATCAGAGTGCCCACGGGCCAGGATCTCGATATAGTAGTTGCCTACACCATCAATTTCGGCAGGTCCAGCGGCAGACAAGGAGTAGGGCAAGGATTCAATGATTGACATCTGGGCGCTTCGCGAGAGAGTCTGCTCATCGTCATGGTTACCGAAGATAGACACATACGGGATCTTGCGCTTAATCGCAATCTGCGCATACTTGAAGATTGCCGTCTGGGCGTCAGGGAGGTATCGCCGTTGACTTGGTCCCCACCAAAGACAAGGAGGTCGGGCTTCTCCTCGTCGATAACCCTGGTGATAAAATCGAGCGTGCGGGGATCAGCCTCGCACTTGCGGCCTTGGTAAGAGTCCGGGATGGCATCGCGACACGCGCCAACACCGGTGCTGAGATGGAGGTCGGAGATGTGGATGATTTTGAACTTCCCATTGTCCTTGATTCGGGGAACGGGCTTGGGTACGGCGTTTGGCACCCCTCGTCGTACGGTCAGATATGATCCAGGGATGCCGGAGCTAGACTCAAGCAAAAGCCTAGTGCCGACAATACTCCAGCCCTCGCGCGCCTCCACAGAGTCATCCCCAAATAACACATCAATGGCCGTGATGGCGTTATCCGAATCACTTGCGAATTTGCTGGTGGACCTCTTGATCCAGAGACCGCAAGGGCGAGATTCCCATTTTTCGTCGGGATCTGTATTGGCGTTTTCGTTGGCGCTCGGGTCTAAGCGGCCAACAGAGAGATCCATCACAACTCTGTCGCCATCCGCTAGATCTTCTTCCTTCTTTCGCCTAACATAGAGGTATGCGGTTGATACCCAGGCCTTGCCTAGGTAGAGATCCTTGTCGATACGTTGCCACACATCCGGATCGAGAACGCAGGACGAAAAGGGGTTGACGGAGGAACACTGAAGTACAGTTATATCGGTGACGACGTGACCGTGATGATGCTGGGGCATGTACGCGTGGAGAGATGGTGGCAAAACGCGATAGTTTCTATCGAGGAAGAGTAGGGCGATGGAGAAGACGATGGTCGCGATGAGCAGCTTGACAGCTGTTCGTACCTAAAAGAAAAAGTGTTGTGTAAGCCTCATGGAATACAAGGAGCCAGAGGATGAATTCGAAGACCTACGATACGCCGAGCCATGATGAGACGAGGGGCGTGTTCGAGCCCTGGAAAGTGGTGCACCCGACTGTACCCCTTGTGAGGCTAATGATCAGAGAGCGGTGGGTGGTCTGATATTCGTGAGTGTGAGAGTCCGGCGTGCGCTACACCATGTTCCAGATGGCTTCGGGCGCCACGTTGGTATATTCGGAAGAGTAGGCCACGAGGGGTGGGGAATGGAAGAGCATTCGGGCATGAAAAGAGAATGGGAGCTCACGATCAGTGTCGACGAAAGTTAGATAGATGCCTTCACCTGAAAAGGAGCATGTGCCAAGACTTTCTCCTGCACCTAAACTTTGGGTAGCGCATTGGCTGAATGTTCAGAAGGACCCACGCGAGGCGAGTGGGCCGACAGAAGCAGGGGCGGAAAGTGCTGCGTGTACTCCGACCCACCCCGGAATGACTGCCAGCTGTGAAATTTTACCTAATTAGTCATCCCCGGAAAAATGTTGCTTACATTGGTCCGTGCACTGTTGCCATTCGATTGAGGGCGCCCAGATGACAAAGAAGCTTGCTTCTTGTTCGAGCCTGAGAGCCGCATGCGGTAGTCGCCCTGCCAGCCAAACATAGACTCAACTGCCCCGGCGCGCCCAGTTTTTCCTAAGCAGGTAATACTAGGAGCCGTCTTCAGCGTCGCGTCACCCAACTCCTCGAAACGAAATCTTCATCTCTTCCCAGCATCGCGATCCGCCTCAAGCTATCCACGACATCCTAATTGGACTGGCCGATAACCTGAGCGATACTGCAACGTCCATCATCCAGAATCGAAATAGATATCAGGGTCATTTATCGTGCTCTTGACCTACTTCGAGCTACCATCCGGATTCTTCCCCACTCGCTTTCTCACCCACACCGAGTCTCCGAGCCCGAAGTTTACATCTCGAAAAGAAATGGAATACACATCGCTTAAAGTCCCCGAGCTCCGGAAGCTGTTGGGAGAGAGGAGCTTGCCCGGAACGGAAACAAAGCCGATCTTGTCGCTCGGCTGCAGGAGGACGATAAGAAGAAGGCGGGCACCGAAGCGCAGACAGGTAAGCGCATTTTATATCTTCTTCGACATACCTCCACCTTTCATTGAAGACCAAGTCGCCCTTTCTTGTCGTAAATAAGTTATTGCGCAAGTTTCTCCGCTGCGACGCGACCTCGGCATGCTCTGGTGTCTCTTCTAGGAGATCGCACCCATCATGGCGGCTGTGGCCGATATGATGAAGAGAATCCGTGGTGGGGATTAGATGTTAGGAAGGCGCGATGCCGGCCCTATCTATGTGCCCTCATCCTGGTGTATGGATCCATCGGTTGTGAGCTCGATTGCTGGCTGCCCCGCGGCATACGTCGCGTCGGCCACCCAGCCCTCTTACTTCGTTGCTTCACCCACTTCCTCTTGGTGATGATCTCTCTTTGCCTCCAAGTACCTTTTGATCCTCCAATTCACTTTGCGCGAAACCCTTAAGCCACAAGAAGCGTAAAATGGAATACAGTACTAACTCAAGACGGATAGCTGAGGATGAAATCGACTACTCGGATGACGATGTAGCCATCACCACCAAGAACCCCGAGCCTGCCGCCGAACCTGAGAAGCCGGAGGCTGCGCAAGCTGATGCGCCTGCCGAGACCGAAAAGGGGACCGAGGCTCCTAGTACCGAAGGCGCGACTGCCGAGGGTGCCAATGGCGAAGCTGCGAGTGCCGATGATGCCGCCGTCGAGAACTTCGCCCTCAATCTCCCTCCTACTTTGGCCGAAGACGAGGTCAAGAAGCGCGCCGATCGGGCCAAGCGATTCGGTCTGGTTGATGATGATGACGAGCGCAAGAAGTCAGACCGCGCGAAGAGGTTCGGGATTGACAACTCTACTCTTGCCAAGTCGCTCGACTCCGCCCTTCCTGATCGCCCCTCAAGCGCGGTCGCGCTCGTGAAGATGACGGAGGTGATGGCAACAAGAGACAAGGCAACAACCCTAGCAACGGCAACCGTCGGGGCGACAGGCGTCATGGACGCGGTCGTGGCGGCCGAAACAACAACCGTGGGGACAACAACCGTGGGGGCAACGGTGGCGGACGTTCCCAGGGTGCCTCTATCCTCACTGATCCATCGGAGAAGGCCAAGGCGGAGGCTCGTGCGAAGAGGTTCGGGTCGGGCTAAACCATACGACCCCAGGCCCTTTCTCGAGGTGACCATTGCGCACCCGTTGGGCTCGGATTGATACCCGCCGGCGTGGAACATAACATCCCCGGGTCTTCCGCCCTTGACCCGTGTTTTCCTTTCCTTGCGTGTCATGACGAGAATTTGGCATTTGTTTTTGTTTTTGGCAAATGAGTGATGGGGGTGAATCAGATCAAGAGGAAAAAGTTGAAATTAGAAACCATTTCCGAACATCAATGGACGGGGCCTCATCTAGGTCCTAGATCTGTATAATATGGCTTTACTTTTTTTATTTTGTTTTTTCAAAGGGACGGAAGCGGAGACGGCGTTATGGTCAAAACAGAAAATAACTTGTAAAGAGAATGGGTGCTAGAATAACAAGTCCGGAGAGCCAGATGTTCCACCAACTCTCTTGAGGGGTCGCCGTCCTCACCCAGGACCTTGGCTGTCCCTGATAGTGTAGTAGAGAGGTGCGATATCAACCAATACAAGTGCTCATCTCATCTGTTCTCTCTCTCAGGAACCTTGATCTCGTCTCTCGTCACCCGTGGCTATGATCTACCTGCTTCTCTTGTCCTCCCCGCCAATCTCACAAGGAATGATGGTGTTTTGAAGTCCTCATTGCGCCGGTGAGAGCTACGACGGTGGTGGCTGGGCCGTTAGCGGAGGCTGGATGTCCATGGCCCACCCTTTATCAAGGGTACCGGCCTCGATAGTGTTGAGAGTGAATAGACCACTATCAAGGACGAGCAGGCGAGCGCGATTTCGTGGTCGCCATGGACGTCATCTCGGTCTCGTTTAGCACGTCGTGGGGCAGGACTAAGCGTGGATAGTCAAGCAGGTGAAACAGATCGCGTTCTGGCCTGCTCGGAGCTTCGCGTGCCTCTGTTCGTGTGATGACGAAAGACATAGGGAAAGTAGGGTAGATGGATAGTTGGCATGTATCCGTCGATTGAGGCGGGGATGCCTGGTGGTGGCAGTGGTAGATGGTGAAGGACGAAGTGGAGGGCTGTGTTCCGCCGACTTGTCGAGCAGAGTTGTGATCTAGGGGGCGGGGGACGCAACCTAGTTACCCTCGCTCGTTTTCATCACGGCCTTGAGGGGGTTGGGCGGTCTATTAGGAGTGCTGACTCCTCAGGAACCAGCTCCTGCATCATGGGTCTCGAATTCTCTCGATTAGCATACAATATTCGGACTTTCCTAGCAGCTTCTTTCCTCGCACTCATCCTCTCTAGCCATGAATGGAGTCCACGAGATTAAAAAAGCGTTTCATATCACGCCCATCTCGAAGGTGGCTCTACTCCGCCCGTCCTAAGGTGCATGCTCCAGCTTGATGACTCTCAGCTCACCCGCTTCCTCGGTACTGCCCTTGCCAATTTGAAATGAAGAGCAGGTCGCCTTTGATGTCAAGCCCCCTTTCCCGGATCTCAATAGACGTCAAACCCCCAAGCAAGAAGCACCTTCCGGGCTAAGGCAAGGGGTATATCCTTTCAAAATCAGGGCAGGGGGGCCAACGGGGGTTGGGAAAACGCCAATGGGAGATCCTAGACCGAGATGGCGGGACTGTGGGGTGTAGGCTGGAACGATAAAGAGTCCTAGGCAAACGCCATTCACCCAACGACAAGCCCGCGGGTTCATGCGGCATCTCAAGGCTTTTCGAGTCTGCTAGCCTCTGTGCGATATAACCCTGCTTTCGCTTTCTTTTCGAACGTCTCTGCCTCGTCAGCAGGCCATCAGCTCGGCCATCAGCTTTCCCCGAGTCCCTGATTTTTCAGGGACAGGTGGGGTTGTTCGTGTAACTGTGGGCGCATGGTAATGGATGGCTGGATCCGTTGGTATCATCGAAGCGTCCCCTTACTGGCGCAGGAGTGGGGGTGGGAGTGTATGTTCAAAAGGATAGGGGGCGGAGGAAGGTGAGATTTGAGTAATGGTCGAGCGAATTGAAAGCTTGGGACTGATATTTGTCCATCTTTCAAAAGGGAAGGATTCAAAGGTGTGTGTAGGGAAATAATCGATCCCGGGTGTGAAGGGAACACATTCCATCTCGTTTGGTTTCTACGTCAGATTACCAACCCAAGTCGTGTAAGTCGTTGGTAATAAGAGGCTACCACTGCGGGGCCTGACACTCAGAAATTGGCCCTTGCCAACGTCACCAACCTCTAAGACGGGGATATTCGTCCATTTCATTATGCTGGTCCAAGTTTGCTTCTACTAGAGCCCGCCGTCCATCCCTTGATACCACACCCCATAAGCAGCCGCGTGGCGCATTTGTACCACTCAACCTCGAAAGGATGAAAGGTGTGCGCTAAGATGGGAGAGCGTAGCGACTAGTGGACAATGGCGGCTCTCGACAGCTTTTATTACACCCAAAATTCGACAAAGGACAACGCCAATCCTCTCTCCAACGACCAAGCCCAAGCCTTACAAGGAGATAAGTGAGCATGGAGGTCGGGTGGGGAAGAAATTTTGTCCAAGGAAGAAGCTAGGAATCGACCATTGGAAGAGCAACGTCGAGTCTACGCCTCTCTAGTATAGGAAAGTGGCGCGCGTGCGCTAGGCAGAAGGCAGAAAGGCCCAGAAAGCCCGGCATTCGGTGAGAACTGCTCACAGCGAATAGACGGAGAGTTTGCAGTCAAGGAGAAAGAGATCATAGATGCATCGCAAGGGGATGGGGACACAGAGAGAACCGAAAAGAAGGAAGGGGTCCAGGGCAGGGGAGCTAAGCCTCAGCCGTCGCTCTTCAACAAAGCCATGCTCTATTCGGACATGGGATACCGGGCTGGGGCCACGCACGTCAGCCATCAGTATTTTTGGGGCGCGCCTGGCTGGGAACACGCGAACACGGACGGATTCCTAAATGCCACTGAAGTTGATCTCAGTCAAGCTTGACGCAGGCTGACTGGTAAGTTCTAGTAACAAGTGCTAATAGGCTTGAGGGGCTTGAGGGGGTGTGGCTGGCTTGGATAACCACGCGCTAATCCCGCATTTCCATTGTTCAGCAATTCCACAATTTACAATTCGATGCCCCAACGTGGAACCCTTTTCTGCACTATTTCTTCCTTGGTGCGTCGGGGATCCACGTCGGTAGGGAGGGAAGGCTTGGGAATGAGACCACAAGGACAAAGTCATCGGACGAGAAGGACCGGGGGAAAGGAGGGGAAGCGGAGATGGATCAACTTCTTCCCTCGTGAAGAGGACCACGTGAGACATCTTGGGCGGTGTTATCTTCGAATGGAAACGCATTGAGACCAGGGTGCCGCCGAAAACACGATTGCACAGAAGCAATGAGACACGACGGTAGTTGAGGGGAAGCAGAAGGATGAGGCGCCGAAGGGGCACGTGGTCAACATGTCTGGTTTCTGAAAGTCCTTGCCCGTCCGTCCATGCCGAACACTGGGACAATGACGATCGCGACCGGCCTCCTCTTGTCCAGACAACCATTGATCCATATTAGATCCATCCACTGATTTTGGCCTCTGAGGGAAGGGGACAACCTCCCAAACCCACTCCCTCCCTCTACCCTGGTCCGTTCCTCTTCCTTCCCTGGGGGTAATTGACACCATGCCACGGGAAGACTTGGCTCTCCTGCCCTCGCCGTCGAATGAGATCTCAAGACCTTGTCAAAGCACAGAGCCAATAGACGTGCAAAAACCCTTGCTCGATGAAGGGGAATCTAGGTGGATCGTCGACCCCCAATTCCTTCTCGTCGAACGTCCGCAATATGTGGATGAACTACCTGTCGGCCGCGAGAAAAGCAAGAAGAAGAAAGTAAAGAATGGAAGGAAAAGAATGGCGGCTGTCGAAGCGACGATGGATGTGTGGATTGGAAGGATGTGAGTGGAGGAAGTGGTCTTGGCTTCGCTGCTGCCCCTCCATCACCCCTCCCAAGTGCTCCCTCCCTTTTGCCATCCCCCACCATCAACGTCAACCAAGTGCTCGACAATCCAAACCCAAAGTAATGGATGAATCGACGCCCCGTTTCCCGTGAACCAACTAGCGTACTTTGCTTACTCTCCCCAAACGATTCCGCGAAGGGATTTTTTTCGTCCGCTATTTTTATTTCTATCTTGAGGCTTGCGCTAGAGTGATGCGTTGGCAAGAGAACGGTCCCCGGATCGATTCTTGCCTTTCGGACTGCCATGGGAGCCCTCTTGGGTAGAGATTGGTGGTTGATGGGCAGGAAAGGTACCCGGTACTCGAACGAAGAGCCCGAGTGACTTCCAACTTGGGTGTAAAAATACAGCATAGAAAGAACCCCAACCTCAAGAAGCATTGATTGTTTAGTCAGTATGGAGGAAAGAGGCTGCCATTTGCCGCCTCAAGCCGCCAGCCACAGGGAGGCGGGTAGCCCAGGCAGTATCTTCACCGCAAAGGTGTTGGTTCTATTAGCGCACGTTAGCCAGGCGATTGATCCTCCCTCCCTGATGCCCAGCATTTTTCCCCCAAGTCCAAGGGGCCACCCTTGAATGTCTATTTTATGGATGACCTCATGCAGCTAACTTTGTGGGTTTTGGGGCGACAAAAAAGAATAACGGAGAAAATTCGTTGGATATTGCGACTGCCACGTCACTAGGCTTGACAAGCATCCACAATCCACCCCCTCCCCTCCCCGGATAGGGCTTCAGGTGTCCTTTTCAGCGCGCCTCACATGACCTGCAGGAGTCAAGGGACCAGCCGGTCTGCAACGCCTGGCCGTCTTCGCCGGCCCGGAGAACACCGGAGGTGTTGGTGTGGCTGAGCACTTATCCCAGGCCGCCCTGAGCAAACAGTGTCCATGAACGACCATGGCTGAGATAACTTTTCGCCTTCGCACGAGTCTTGAGGTTGGATTGCCAACGCATCAAGATCCTCAAGTTGTAAAATCCTAACCCGCCAGAAAATAAAAAAATTTCTAGGCATCTCTCGGACGGGAACGGACTCTTGGCTGTTGCCCATCCGCATCTGCTGTTGACTGTTGACGCAGATTTTCTTCAACCCTAGTTCGTGCAGCTGGCTGCCTCACCAGCCCAGCTCGTTCGCCTCGTTGTGCCAACGCATGCGTGTCTCACATCTTCGTGCGAG